TTCATTTTTTCCTGCTGGCACAAAGGGTCTCAGTGCCCCTCCTTCTTCTTGTTCTTCTTCTTCTTCTTCTTCTTCTTCTTCTTCTTCTTTTGCTCCAAGAGCCCTTCTCCGCCTCTTCTTCGTTTTTCCCACTACGTACTCCTAGAGCTATTGAGCACATGCTCGAAACAGCCAGTATTCTGTAGGAAAGAGCACCGGCGTCGTGGGTGTGGTGCCCCTGAAGCAGAAGGAGCCCTCCTGTCCCTCGACTGGTTGTCCCCTCCGAATTATGTGCCAAATGAATTACCTGCAAGACCATTTGAAGCGAAATATGAGGCGGATGGATCATAACTACCGTATGTGCACTGATCGAACGAGAATGATGGAGCAGTTGAGTATCCTGGAATCGGGAACACCGTAAATCAGTAGCTAATTGCATAATAATTTGTCTGTCTTTAGAATTTTGTAAGATGGAATAGAAGGGATAAAGACTGGTGATGAGAGAGATGGGTCGCGGCGCCAAGAACAGAGAGAAGAAGCTCCTTCTGTTTACTTGCATCCATTCATTTCCGATTCTAGGTAAACACGAAATAGTGCATTGAAATAATAGACTAAGAAAAGCTATACCCTATACAGTATCCCCTTAATATCAGCCTATGCGAGAAAAGACAAACGAATAAGTACTGTATCTTGCTAGGCGAGAATGGTGTTATGTTACTTATTCCCGCATTATACGTTACACAACAATTGGAAATTGGATATGGATGTCTTTTACTTTTACTTACCTGCAAGCAGAGGAATGTCCGTCCATGTCGTACATTGTAAATTCGTATCTGTTGGAAGCCCAGAATTCAGAGTATCCCATTTGGTATCGAGTCTGGAAAGCATGATGAATGAATGAAGAAAAAAAGTGCGGCCAGATGGCACCTATTTATACAAGAAGCGGTGTTTTGATTCAGTAAAAGAGGGATGGCTAGGCGACGATTCGAGAGTTTCGAACAACTTCTTCATTTCTTTGAAGTTGCCGATAAAGGAAGTGGGTATATTTTGGGACAAGCTTCGGCATGACTTTAGATGATATTCTTATAAGCTAACTCGACGAAAAATAGGAAAGGAAGAGACCGATAGTTGAAAAGAAATATTTAGGAGAAGAGGATCTACGGAAATATTAAATTCTGAAAAGAAGTGTGATACCAATGTTTATTTCAAAAAAAGGAGACAAAAAGGAATTTTGCGACAACTTGAATGATTTCATGAAATGAGAAACAAATAACGAATGAATAGGATTTTCGATGTCTTAAACTGGGCTCAACTGTGCTGATTAATATACTCGGCAGTCAGCTTCTAAAATCTGGTCAGAAGTTGAAGAGGGTTCGGCTGTTAGACGGATATTGGGGAGGTTCTGGTCGGAACTTGCCCAAAAACAGCTGTATAGCGGAGAATGGTCAGATTTTGGTCGGAATTTGAAAATTCAGATACTACTAGGTTGGAACCTTATCATAAGTTTGTCGCAGTTTGATCAAGTTTAGTAGTGGTCCTATCCGGAATCTGACCAACCTCCGACCAGAAATTGCCGACGACGCCCCAGTAGGTAATAGGCAAGAATTACAAAAAATCGTTATCATTAACTATTCAAAGAAAGTAGAGCCTACCGTCACAAATAAAAAATTAAGTAATCAGTTACAGCATGGTAGATTTTTAATCCTGGGGCATACTTTATTAAAAACCGGGTGTCTAAATTTTTCAAATTCTGATGTCAGGTTCTAAAAATACTGAAAACAAGATTAAACTATATATCTCTCTAATTAAGCTGAATATATCCATTTGATTATCATGAATACTATTTTCAAAAAGGATTGTTGATTGGAACTTCTGAAGCGAAAGAAGGTCTTCCAGAATATTCTTAATGAATGATCTGAACTACAAAGGGAACAAGATTGAACAGAACCACCAAAAACTTTGAGGATTGAATGGAGTTCCTAAGAAAAATAAAAATTAATGAGATAGGTGGTATCCTAGTAATACTCAAAAAAAAATCAGTAGAGTTTCAAAAATACAATGGTGACATGAAGGAAGAAAGGAAAAGAAGATGGTGAGGATTGTGAATGAAAGTGTCTTGAAATGAACAGATCCTTCTACTAGTGGAGGATGTAATCGAATATACGAGTGGAGAGGGATCTCTTCACATAAAGTGGATCATCTTCAAGACGGCAAGCCTCCTCTCCTCCGACCTTCTCTCTTCAAAAAACACTTACTTGTTATGAAGTGCCGATTGTGACTGCTGTTGTGGCGCCGCCGATGCACTTGAAGCCGACGAAGAAGCGGCGCCGCCATCTCCAGTTCGAGAAGTGGCATCATTCAATGCTCCGATACCAACACTTGTAGACAATCCATGCTGCTCTGATGGGCTTGCGATGGATGACACCGATGCGATAGAAGGCGTCGCTCCTGCGAGCGCCGACACGTTGAACATCGGCTCTCGAGACTCGAGTGCAATTGACAACCGACCCTCTTGTGCTGATTGCGACACGCCCACCCCAGCTCCGCCAGCCCACAAATTGCGGAGAAACAGGGGGATGAGCTCTCGGTACGGTACAATAGGATATGTGTGTGCTTAGATATCTCTGCACACTCTTGTAAGCTCAGTATACAGTTTCATCTCTTTTGTGGAAAATCTCGGAAGGAAGATGGGAGAAGAACTTAACTAAAGTATTGTTTCAAAGTATAACTTTCAGGAGCAGACAGATTAAAGGGACATAGTGCTTGGTAAATGGATGACTTGATGAATAGACCTAAGTAAATATCTGTTTTTTTCTTGTCAATGAACATCCGATTTTCAACTTTCTTGTGAATACATAGAAACCATGAGGAACATGAAACACTGAGAAACTTTGGAACCAAGGAAATTTGAATCTTGACTCTTATGAAAATCATTCATTTTCGATGTATCACTTGATTTGAAGCCAGAGTAGGCAATCTGTAATTTAACTGATTATGTATAGTTAGAAATCAAGAAAAAAGGTTCGAAACCTTTTTGTCTTCCTCGCAATTATTTATTTACAGTTTTGGAGCATATCGGCTAACAATAATCAAGTGTAGTGCTCGAACCATAAGTGCTTCGGCAAATCAGCCCCCGATATCTTCCCCCAAAAACTATATTTATTATCATTCGGTGTTCGCGTTGAACTCCTAGCTTTCTTGTTAACTAGGTTGGATGATAGTTTTTAATTCCTGAAATCCTTTGACTTTAATGGCTCAGTGAGAGCGGTTGGATCTTTATAGTAACCTTACATATCGTAAAACATGTAATAGAAGAGCCCCCACACTGTCAAGTTTGAGCCAATTTTTCTTGGCTTATATACCAGATATCTGAAATGCGCCAACTGATAAAATAATTTGGAAAATATGATAACAAGTTATCATTTGACAACTGTATGAAATCTTTGAATTAGCTCAGAATGGAACGTTTGGGGCTTTTCTAATACAGGTGTTACGGTATTTATAATTCTCAATACTTCTTGATCTGTAGTTCTTGCTTCAATTTCGCAATTTTTCCTCTGATCTTTGAAAACGGTTACATAATGATTTTTAGTTATTTTCCACTGGTGAGCCAGGTCTTTCTGTAGCTGTAGAAGTATCAATATCATCGTCTTGTTACTAATCTTAATCCAATTACAAGCAATACCTCCATACCGTTAACAAGATACCGGAAAAAAGGAGGAATGCCGCCAAAGTAAACCTCCTTATTTGATATGTAAACGCGGTAGATGCGTGCGTCGCGCACCCCTTTTGCTTCCCTTTGACCCAGTCGAAAAACTGCTCCCTAATTTGCGCATCATCAATCTTCCTTCATCTTCTTTTTGGCTTCTCCTTGGATCCAAAAATGCGCCGGTGTTATCTGTTTGTCCAACTACCGTAATCTTTTCAACTTCTTGTTCCTAGCTCATCTTTCTTTTGTGTGTGTGTGCTCCACCTACACACACACACACACACAAAACGAGGCGAAGATTCACAATATCCAATTCTGCTATTTCTGTGATTAGGGAACGGACAAAGGTCATGAAAGTTATTAGGTACACATTAGTACAGGAAGGGATTAGAAAGAAGTTGAATTACTGTTTCGTGTGGCATCAAATTACACGACCCGTCCAACAACTGGCAAGACAAATATAATAAAAGAATTTGTTGGCTTACAACGTCTTACACAATTACCATTTTATTGACATGTCATGACCCGTAATATAAAATTCAACCAGATATTTGTAATGAAAGTCTTTAAAAATGAAAGAAAAAATAGAAATATCCTAAACAATATTAACCGGTGCATCGCGTTTTGAAAGATCATAACCAGAGTCAATCATCGATGTTGATCTGGAAAGAATCAATCAATTATTTTGAGAATTTTAGGAAAGTCATACGTTGATGTGGATGGCGAATCGAAATCTTGAGGAAGAAGTCCACACACAAGACGAGCATGTTGTAGGTTTTCATCATAACCAAGCTTTACTTTACGAGCTCTGGAAAATTTTCCACGTTGAAGCAAATGATTCTGATGGGATTACAACGATATATCAATTAACGGAAAATATGTTTACACCGAAAAGAATTACACTAACAAATGTAAACTTCTTTTTTTCATTCTAGCTCTTCTTCCGATCTGAAACTGTTATTGAAATACCGGAACCCCTATAACAAAAAGGTCCCTTCACTGCTAAGTTTGGGCTAATGTTTCTTGGCTTCTAGGCCAGACATCAAAAATGTATCAAAAGTGCATCAATCATCATTTGACAACTTTTTCATTTAATCTACAGGAGAGATAATTTTGCTCAAAGTAAGAAGTTAGTGGGCCCTTCTATTACAGGTTTTACAGTATCTGAACTTAATTTCTCAAACAAAAAACTTACTGAACATCCGTCAGTGATGCCAGCCTTCTTGGTGTCAACTGGATTTCTGGATCCTCATCGTATTTTTGTTCCTTCTCGAGCAATGCTCTCAATGGTGATGCCAATTGTGATGGACGAGATGGTGGAGGTGGTGGCATTCCTGGACGAGATACCAACATTTTCTGGGGAATTCTGACGACCTCATCGTCGTCGAACTGCAAATTTGTGTTTTAAGTTTGATTGTTTTTCGAAAAGCTCACATCGAATATTGAGTGATTTGATTCTCTGAGGTGATACTCATCGATTAAAGGCTCTGTTATGTAATCGAACTTCAGATCACCAAATGTGATCGACATCACAGAATCCTCATCTGGAGCGTGGCTGTTATTTCTGGGTAAGAATGTCGACATAGTGGATTGAGATGAACATGAACCTGGAAAAAATAAATTTCAATCGAATGACGTTCTAAATTCAAAAGTTCGAATGATCTTTACCAATTCTTGCATGCCTTCCTTTCGGATTTCTTCTTTGTACTACCAATCCACTGAGATCAGTCTGACAAGAAACAGTAGCTAATTCTCGTAACTCCGTTTGCTCCAGAATCTTCGCCAACTTTTTATTTTCCAAAAACTTTGCAAACATTCTGGAGTCCAAGTCACCCTTCTTCGGTTTGAACTTCTCCATCGCTTTGATACGGTCAAGAAGCTGACCGTAATTATTTCCAGGTGGAATTTTGGAGTTGGAAAGGTTTGAAACGTCGGAGACTGAAAGAAAGTTAAACAATTCTGAATATGAGAAAAACAAACTTTGTAATAAAATACCTAACAGTTCATAAAAGTTTACTCACATGCATAACTCTGTTTGCTAACTCGTCTTGTAGCTCCTCCGTTCGTGCATACAACCAGATCGTTGGCAGTAAGCGTGGCAACTTGTGGTGATTCGAATTCTTCAAGAGCTTCATCCTCATCAGATTCATCATCAGTGTCTTCCAGTTTTGACTGGATCACATTATCTGTCACTTTTCCAGCAAACCAATCTTTGAGTTCCGCGAAGAATCCACGCTTCTCTTCACTAACATGAGTCGCGGCAATTTGCATCAGATTAGCTGTAAAACTAACTGGATAGTTGTATCAAAGAAATTAACTTACGAGCCATACGAATCCCAAGAGGCGGTGCTTCCTCCACAAACGGATCCTTCTCGAAAACTTGGAATGCCATCTTTTGAACTTTCTTGATGTGCTCATCGAATCTTTTTTGTTTCCATTTGGCAATACGGTCTGTGATCAGCTCAAAGCACATTGAGAGAAGAGCCAGACCAAAAAGAATGAGCAGGAAGTTGAAGACCATCATATCAGGTGTTCGGAAGAGCATATCACCGAGACCAACAGTTCTGAAAAAAATATGTTGGGGGACCTTTAATATCATGTTTGAGCTCAATTATCTCAATTCCTATGCAAGATATCAAAAATTTGCCAACTGACAAAACCCGTCTGGTATTATGGTAAACAATTTATCAGTTAACAACTTTTTATATCTTCGATAGGAACCAAAATAAGTTGACTAAAAGTTGAAAAATAGGAGGTTATTCTATTACAGATTTTGTGTTATACGAAAACTCACGAAATGGAAACGATGAAGAAGTATACGGCTGATGGGAAATCCCACGTCTTCTCCCACTGACAAAACATTGAAGCTGAGAAACAAATCCAAATAATCAAAAGTATAATAGCAATTGGAATTGGAAATGGTTTCCTTTTTCTCTCCTCCGCAGATGCATCTGGATCTTCGAATCCGTCTTTTGTGGCCTTAAACTTATACAGGTCTCTTCATTTTTAGTGTTTACATACCGTAACTCTGGTTGGAAGTAGGAATTTTCCAAAAGCAGATCGTCTCACTCGTTTGTAGATTTTTTTCAATCTCTTTGACAATGTTTTACCGATTGCCTAAAATACATTTTTATCAAAAGATCTTTTCCCTTTCCCCAAAGCCTTCCTTTTTTTTCATCTATCTTATGAAGTGTAATGTAACAAGTGAGCTGTTCAGCAAAATCAACACATTAGAAAACTTGCAAAGCGAATCAAGGTGAAAAAAGAGGAAGCGGCAATTAATAACAGACGATCGCAACTTTTTCTTTTAGTGACAAATTGTCGAGGGCACAAAAATTGTTTTGGAAGAGATATATCACTGCTCTAGAGTCAAAGATTGATGACTGACCTTGAGATACATCAGGAAGCATGGGATTCCGAAGAGAGCGTATAAAACTGTGCATATTCTGCCTTCATCGGTTTTCGCGGTTGGATAACCGTAACCTAAAAGATAACAGGAAGACTTTAAGTTATTAGAAAAACTGACCAATGGTGGTATAAAGTTGACCTGCATAAAACATAGCTCCTGTCCACGTCCACGGTGTATCTTCTGAGAATTCTCTCATATGATCGGAGAGATTCAATTCACCGAGAAGCCAATCTACAGCTTCAGCCGCTCGTCGACGCTGAATCAGTGATACATTATCTTATGAGATCTCATGAAAGCCTACTCGTAATACTGAATTGTTTCTCAAAACAGCATCATCGTGCATTTCAATCCATCGTTCAGCTAGCTGGAATTTCAGTTTTCAAAGAAATGAGACATGTTCAAAAGTGGCTCACCTGCCGCCTGATCAAGTTAGTATCATTTCCATAAATGGCTCTTCTTTTGATGTCTGCTTGTAACTCATAAAATCTGAAGAGCCATGCTCCAAACAACGTATATGCAATTAGAAGTAAAAATTTGTAGTATGCTCTGAGACGGATCAGTTGACAAAACCATTGTAGTTTTTGAAATAACGTCATCTGAAATGAACTGAAAACCGGATAAGGTTTTGTTTGTTTAAGACATGAAACGATAGAATATAAACGCCGGAATTCAGAAAAACTGCCCGAATGATCATGTGATATCTGATTGGGCGGAGCCTAATTTTTGAGACATTCCACAAACACGAAAAATGGGGATGCATCTCCTGCTGGTGGTGGTCGTAGTAGAAGTTTAATCGCAGAGGGCGGCAATTGTGTGTGAAAAGAGAACCCATTTCGTTTTCGACACCTCGTTTTTGTGGAGCAACAGAGGTTTCAGGAGCCCACTAAGATCCCGCGAGTCATCGTAAATTCTTCGTCCACTGGTCATTTGGTTAGCCGCAAGAAAAACGGAAAAGAAAAAAGAAAGAAGCAAATACACAGCATCACAATTCAGCGGTATGTTGAAAAAAATGGAAAAAAGACGAAAAAGGAAATAAGGAACGAAAATATGATTAGAAAGAGGTTAGGCAGATCAATTAGATAACGAGGAACGGAAAAAAGAAAAGAAGAAGCTAGAACAAAAAACAAAATGTATCATTTCGTTCTGTGATTTTTCTTTTTTATTCTATTAATTTTAATTATATTTTCGGATTTGCAGCGCGAATGTTAAAAGGAGATGGAGGAAAGGATGTGATGTGTGAAACTTTCAGGGATTGAGCTAATTTCAAAAGGAAGGAATTGCAACTTTGAGACAAAACATCAACTTTTTGTTTGCTAGACACTTCGCAGTTTCAAATTATACAGCAATTTCAAAGAGGAAATAAACAAATGATGAAAATTAGTAGGAAACAATTATTTTAAGAATTTTGGAACGTTCATTGAGTCTCTGCTACAGTAATGATCCTGGTTCACAATAATCCTGAATTCTCAATGAAGTTGGTCCAAGTTATAACGCTAGTACGCAAAAATTGGAGCTGTGCTCAAAAGAAAATTAAATCGAAATATTTAAAATTGGATACAGTATACTTTCAGTTATTGAATCAGTCGCCTGGTTCGAGTAAATGACCTGGACCAAAATTCTTGATAATAGAACAAAAATATATGCATTGCTCAACTTTTTTTTTCTTCATCTACCTGGTAGACAAAACGGATAACATACGAAAAGACGAAAAAAAGACAAAAAGTGTAAAACAAAAGGTGTGGAAGTGTGAAATGAAATGCTAGTAATGATGAGGTGTATGACACCAACTGATATTTTTTCTTCCACTTTTACACCTTTTCAGTTTGTTTTTTAATTCAAAATAATCATCGTTGATCTGAATTATCAATAATTTAAAAGTAAAGAAAAATGATAAGTTGAAAACCATGAACATCAAAAACACATTTTTCAAACGTTCAAAAAATGAACCACAAGAAAGCTATTATTGCAGATCATTGAAGTTATTTTTTGAAGAACTGAGTCGGCATGTCCTTGTGACTGAAAAAATGACATTGCTGACAGGTTGACACAAGGCAAAAAATAATGGTAAAAAACTTGGAATGCGTTCGGAGCCTTCATAAATCATGCACCTTTTGTCTTACGTTGTTTTACTGAAAAGAGAAAATAAAGAGTAAGACAACAAGAAAAATATCACTGGAAGAGTATTATGGGTCGTAAATTTTCAGCCATCCCAACAAGGGATTCACTTTTTTCTCTTCTCAGCTGGGAGAAAACCCCGAAAAAAGACAGTGAGGGAATTTAGAAGAAGAAGAAAAAGAAGACGTCTTGAGTTTAAGTGTGCTCACAGAGCACATGAGAAGCAAACAAATCGGTATATGACCACCCCCGGACAAAATGATTAATCATCTCGTCTTACTGGGTCAAAGGTGAAGTCTTGTTGAAGTTTTTTGTCTGGTATTTTTGGGATTCCGGAAAAAGGCTAAAAACCAATTAGTATCTGATTTTTTTCTTCTCAGTTGGTCAGCACCTCGGGAAACCGATCAATTATAAGTCGGTGAAATGTGACAAGAGGTGGAGAGTGTCGACGAACATGAGACATGCATCGAATGATGATGGATCCGGGGCTCCTGGAGTCAAAAAGAAAAGAATGGAGGGGAGAATACGAAACAATGCACACTCTACTACACAGACACACCTCCACAAAGATATGACGGATTTTTATTTCGAGTCTCCAGGTGAAAGAAAACAAACGATAAAAAGTGGAACGAGTTGAAGAATATCTGTTTGAAGAGTCTGAAGTTACATCAAAAAAAATAGGAAGTGATGGTGATACAACGTGTAAATGTGTTCATGTAACTTGATATCAATGGGAAACACCTCTACTCGTCAATCCTGGAATTTTCAAAGTTGACAGGGAGGTTCCAGGTTATCCTAATTTAGCTGGAAGTTTCCAGTAAAAAAGACAACTACCGTAGCCCTTCTAATAAGCCAACACTCGCGAAGTAACTTTGACCTAAATTATTTTGGTTCCCTGAACGTATATCTAAAAGTTATCACTGGAGTTCGCAAGCTTATCACCAAACATTTCATCAGTGACCGTGTTTACATTAATAGAAGCTTACTCACGCCGTCAACTTTGGGACCAACTATCTCGATTCCTGTAAATGATATCAAACATTTATCAACTGGTAAAATTTTGGTGACGTTATGATAAACCATTTATCAGTTGACAAGTTTTCGATATCTTTTACAGGCATCAAGATAATTGAGCTCAATGTTGGAGGCTTAGGTGAGCTTCTATGAGAAGTAGTAGTAATTTTAATTCGTTTTAAGAATGAATTCGAGTTGGAATCGACAATAAAAAGGTCATAGCAGGGTAAAAATTTTTCAAAAGGGTATTTAATTTGAAACATGTGTAGAAACTATTATGGCGAACATCTTTGACAATGTTCAGAATACAAAGCCAAATATGACAAAAAACCAGAATCTGAAACAGTTGGTTTTTCGAAGAAAAAAAATCCGATTCTATCTCAAATTGTCGCTTCAGGCATTACACAAGTGCATCCAGTGAGAAGAAAAAACAAACACTTGGCCATTTTAAAACTAACAATTTTCTCAAATCTATCCATTCAAGACAAAAAAACGATCGAAAATCGAGTGGGTCCTTTCAAGTGGAAATCCCATGATCTTCTGAGATTTTGAAATACTCTCAAGAATGACACAAACTTGAAATGACATCCATGAATCAACCACTTTTGAATGAGCCAATGAAGATGTGCTAACATTGAAAGTAGACGGAGCAGTTGTTCAAAGAAAAAAAAGTAAAACAAAATGGTAATAAGAATAAAACAAAGTATCTACCTTGTTTCGTTTGCAGCACTCTGTGGTCTTTTTTTCTTGTCTGCAAGTTTCATCAAATTAAAAAAATAGCTGTGATCAAACATTGGTCATAAATCTATCAGAAGAGGTCTTTCTCACCAACTGTTTCTATAGAAAATTCGCACGAGTTTCGATTCATGAAATTTTTTATTGGTTTCTTTTTGCAACAGAATAGTGAAGATGGAATGAGGAGGTAATTAAAGAAACAAGATAAATGGGCGATGATTCGAGTCAAAGGGTACGACTCTCTAATTTATGATTCCCAGGGACCTTTAAAGAAATTTCCAACTTCATTAAACGAATTCTAGAAAAAAAACTTGGAATGCTCAATTGGTAATGTCCCCTTTTCGGGAAAAATGTTCGTTTGTTTACTAATTGAAGCAACAGAAACAGAAGATTAGATGCCATAAAAAAAGAGAAGAAGAAACAAACGTTTTTTCTGGAGAGGGCACCCAAGACAAAAGACTCTTTTTTCGAGGGAAGAAGCTTTTAATCTGGGTCTAGGATCATCGTCCGGTCAGTGGTTGAAGAAATTATTTGAAAACGGAAGTAACTAACAAGTTATTTTTGGAATTGAATAACCGAGAATAGTAAAAGGGAAATGTCGACGTACCGTAAACACTCTAAAAGAGTGTCCCCCAAATCGTCAACTTTGATCTCAAATATCTCATTTCCTATACAAGATTTAAAAAAAGTGGTCCACTGGCAAAATGTTTATCACAATATCACATTTTGTTAGTTAAATTCTTTCTGATCTTTTTACAGGAACCGAGATAACTTGACTCAAAGTTGACGGTGTGTGTTGGACTCTATTAGAGCGTTTATAATAGATATCAGCTACTGTATTAAATCCAACTTTCGGGATAGCAAACAAATGAGCAGCAAAAAAAAACAATTATAATAAAAGGTCCTCCATTCGACGTCAGAATTCGGATTGACTCCACTCCAACCACTGGATTTCCCCGTCCGAAGTTCGAGTTGATTAACTACTTCACCATTTGCATTTGTTCACATATTGAATTTGGATCTTGGAAGAATCAATACAGTCTATAGTTTTCACAGTGCTGAATCTGACACCGATTTTAAAAATAATTCAATTTTCCTGATCCAGATAATTCAATAATCATATACCGTATTTCCTCTAATAGAAGACCACCCAAACCATCAACTTTAAGCTCAATTATCTCGATCCCTGTGAGATATACCAAAAATTTGTCAACTGATAAATTATTCATCATAGTATCACCAATATTTTATCAACAGGCAAATTTTTTATATCTTTCACAGGAATCGAGATAATCGAGCTCAAAGTTGACGATGGGCTTCTACTAGAGGAAATACGGTATGTCTGATTGCTCCTATAATAATGACCGTTTTCACTGTTATCCTATTTGTCAAATAAAAGCTCAACAGGCACATTGTAAAACAAACAGAGACATTGTATGTTTTTTTTCTACTGCAGAAAGGGCACGATCCGGTCATTTCGTTTCATATTGGTGTAATAACCTCATCCATATAGTATCCCTATACATTCCTGACCTAATTTTCAATAAAACCCTTTGTCATAAATGTGGATGTGAGTCAGCTCATTCGGTCCATTTCAGTTTGTTTTATTTATTTATATTCGAAGGTCAGTTCTCTTCCCCACACATCTGGTTTTTTTTTCGTCTGGCCTCCTTCTTTCGCCTTCTGATTTCTTAATTACAAATGTGCCCTTGTCCTGGTTTCGTCCAAAAAGATTAATACTTAAAAAGTGCGTCCTTTTGCACTTTCTCAAATCCTCCATATCTGTTAAACAAAGTATTCCATTGAAAGTTGTCCTTCTCCAACTATTTGGATCAGTTTTACATTAAATCTACTTCCTACGACGTCTTCTTATGTTTCAGCTGTTTGGGCATGATTTTTTTCTTATCAGCTTTTTGACCTAAAACGGAAAAATAATCGGAATGTTGCTGATTAACAGACCACACCCTCGAGTTGAGTTTGTATGAGATGCCACCTAATTCTACGCCCACGAGGCTATTAAAATCAAACATGTATACAACGACAAAAATTAAAAATATGTTTTTGAATCCAAATATTTGAATATGTTCAGTCTCATTTTTTTTCATTTTTAAAAATCCTTTCGATTTCTCAAGACTTTTTTCTCAAGCCTTTTTGATCTTTATCCCCTGGCGCCACCGCACGAATCCACTATGCACTATTGTTATCATTTGCTTCGATCCGATTTCCCTTTTTGTTTCTTTTCTTTTTTCCTGCTTTCCGATCTTCTTTTTACCTCTATTCTGTGACGTTTGCCACGTTCTCCAATATGATTCGATTCGATTTTGCTTTTTCGTTCGCCGCCTATATTCGTTCGTTTAACTGACGTGGCTTCAATGAATTATTCAACAGTATCTCTTTGTGGGCATCAGACATAACTTTCTCTCTATTATATTATGATCTAGCTTTTCAAGAAATCTTATGAGCATAAAGGCGCCAAGCGAGAGCCGGCGCCAGTTGTTGGCGCAGACAATACAATAGATCTGACGACAAATCTTGTTGGATATTGGACCCATCAGTTTCGCAATTTTGTTTCGTTCTACGCTCATTATCTTCTAATAATATAAACTCCCTTAGCAGTATTTCATTTTTTATAAATGACTGAATCATAAACGATTTCAATTTTTCAGCCAACTGGTTCTCTTTTTTTGGCGTCAATTACATCGCACATTCTGCAACTCTCAAGCTGAAAAAAAGTGGGTGTTTAAAACTAATTTCACATTTTATCCCTTCTCCGAACTTCACTGCTAAATATCTCTACGTTTTCAAAGAATTTCTAAATGCATTTTTACAGAGATGACTGATCAAGTGTTCGGTAAGGTCTCGAAGGTAGTATGCGTTGGTGCCGGATACGTTGGTGGACCCACATGTGCCATGATTGCTCATAAATGCCCACATGTCACGGTCACAGTCGTCGATATGAACAAGGATAAGATTGCCGAATGGAACTCAGACAAGCTTCCAATTTATGAGGTAAACACGAACTGTGAAGGTCTCCATCTCAACTAAAACTTTCAGCCTGGACTCGACGAGATTGTGTTCGCAGCACGTGGTCGCAATCTTTTCTTCTCATCCGATATCCCAAAGGCAATCGCTGAAGCTGACTTGATCTTCATTTCGGTGAACACGCCAACCAAAATGTACGGACGCGGAAAAGGAATGGCTCCAGATCTGAAATATGTTGAATCGGTCTCCCGGACTATCGCTCAATACGCTGTTGGACCAAAAATTGTCGTTGAAAAGAGTACAGTACCAGTGAAGGCCGCTGAGTCAATCGGATGCATTTTGAGAGAGGCACAGAAGAATAATGCGAATCTGAAATTCCAAGTACTCTCTAACCCAGAATTTTTGGCTGAAGGAACTGCTATGAAAGATCTTGCCAATCCCGACCGTGTTCTAATTGGTGGAGAATCTTCCACAGAAGGCCTTCAAGCTGTCGCCGAACTTGTTCGCATCTACGAAAACTGGGTACCACGTGAACGCATCATTACTACTAACACATGGAGCAGTGAGCTATCCAAACTTGTCGCCAACGCTTTCTTGGCTCAAAGAATCTCCTCTATTAACTCGATCTCCGCTGTTTGTGAAGCAACCGGTGCGGAAATCTCCGAAGTAGCTCATGCCGTCGGGTTTGATACTCGAATTGGAAACAAATTCTTGAAAGCTTCAGTTGGATTCGGAGGAAGCTGCTTCCAGAAAGACGTTCTTTCGCTTGTTTATCTCTGTGAATCACTCAACCTTCCACAAGTTGCTGAATACTGGCAAGGAGTAATCAATGTGAACAATTGGCAACGTCGACGATTCGCTGACAAGATCATTGCTGAACTTTTCAATACTGTTACTGACAAGAAAATTGCTATCTTCGGATTTGCTTTCAAGAAAAATACAGGTGAGAAGACCAAGCAATCAATAGAATTAAATAATTTTGAATGCTTTTAGGAGACACTCGCGAATCCTCTGCCATTCACGTCATGAAGCATCTGATGGAGGAGCACGCCAAGTTGTCGGTTTACGATCCAAAAGTGCAAAAGTCGCAAATGATCAATGATCTGGCTGCTGTTACGAGTGCTGATGATGTGACACGTCTTGTCACTGTGGAGACGGACCCGTACGCTGCAGCTCGAGGAGCCCACGCCATCGTTGTTCTCACTGAATGGGATGAGTTCGTCGATCTGGACTACAACAAGATTCACGACAACATGCAACATCCAGCTGCTATTTTCGATGGTCGACTCATTCTGGATCAAAAGGCGTTGCGCGAGATTGGATTCCGTACTTTCGCCATTGGAACTGCACCTGATCAAGCTTACAATCTGTTTGGAACCGCCGGTTACTAACTATCTTTTTATTGTGAAGACTGTTAACTTTAAATACTATTTATTTGCATGCTTTCTCTTCTAATTCATAATTTATTGCATTTGATTCTGAACTGCCTTAATAGTAAATGTTTATCTACTTACAACAAACAGTGTCCAAACAGCTAACATTAGAAACAAAACAAGAAAGTAACAACGGGGTCGAAATTTAACTGAAAATAATGTTGAGATTCTCACTACAGGAGTTTCTGACAGCAGAACAAGTTTCACATTGGAACTCAGCAACTTCCACATAGCACATCGAACACCTAGAACCATCCTTTCCATTTGTATTATGAATTTTCGAAGCCGTACTCAATACTGTGTTGATTGTGGACTAGAAATAATATTTTCAAATTATTCTGAAACCGTTCTTCTCACATAAAACTTCTCATCCTCCAGTGTTCGAATGAATGCATCGGTTAGAGTTTGTACTGACTTCTCCTGTGATTGGGTATGAGAAAACTGTATATAGTGATCATCAATTTTACATAGATAATTGTAAATGGAGATTTCTCTTTTTGACAAATCACAAAGCGGTCGAATAATCATAAAGTCATTTCTTTTTTCTGCTACTGTCACCAACGATGAGAGAGATCCACCTGAGAAGAAGGTCCTCTTAAAAAATCAGACGTAATAAATTCTGAATACCTCTTCCAAGACATAACTGATCGAGAGCCAGTCTTCCGAGGTCATCTGCATCATCCGTAACCATACACTTTGTCACTTTCAGAGATTCAGCTAGTTTTTGAAGACATTTCTCTTTCAGCATTCTTTCTAATTCTTTTTTGTACGTCGGCACGGAACAGGAGGCAAGAAGGTATTTGTACGCGGTAATCTGAAAATTATTTTGTTCCGGGTAAATGCTTCGTTTGGAATTTCAACCTTTTCAATACCATTGCATTCAAATTCTTTCAGTTCTGAAGGTTCATCATACAAGCAGAAAGCAATATGAGCTATAAACCAGTTCACATTCTCGAGAAAGTTCTTCTTGATCTCTGCAACTCGCTTGATCACCTGCTGAATTTCCGGTTCTTCCGATTCGGATACTAAAACAAGAACCTGGAACAAATGAATTTAAATCTATCTATTTAAATCATGTTTTTTTTGAAAATCTTACAGTGGGCTTGACCATTAATCTTTTGTAAGTAATTTGCTTGAGCGCGTCGTCGATTTGATTGAGCAGAAAAGTTCCAGATGGAGATCCATCATAAACAACCAAGGTATCACGAGCGTCGGCCTCCTAAACATAAAGTAAATTGTGGTTTTAGATTTGTCGTTAAGCAATATTGAACCTTGTAAATTTTTTTCTTGCTCAAAGCAGATCTGAACTTATTTCTGACCATCTGAATGAAACATTCTTGACAATACCACGCTTTCTTTGGGTCGACGCCTGAAAATCAGTCACCAAAATAAGTTATCTTCAAACGAAACTAACCAGTAAATTTAGCTTCTTTTTCACATTTCACACATGTTTTCCCGTTTAAGTCACTGGTGAAATTGTTGAAATTCATTATGTCGAAACAGCGAACTAAAAAACCTGAGGCGTTATGTCTGGTGCTTGCGTACTCGGGAGGAATACGAAATCTGGACAAATAAAAATATCACAGAATCCGGAATGAAATAATTTTATCGGAATACGGAATTCGGAACGAAAAAAAAATCAAAGAATCCGGACAACGGAATACCCGATGGGCAAAAAATTCACATAAAAGCACATAACCTGCTGTATTTTTGCATTGTTAGTCGCGGAAGTTCAAAAACGGCAGAGAATTCTTGCAGAGTAACACATTTGCTGAAAATTCGGAAACATTTTTTTTTAAAATTTTGAAAAAAAATAGAACTTTTTAGACTACGGTATGTCGAAGGCGCACGCGCAAGTTTACCTTGCGGGTTTCGAGCGGAAAATGCATCTTGCGGGTCTCGAGCGGAAGCTTTCAATTTTTTCGAAATCAGTTTGCCAATTTCCCATAATTTTTTCGCGTTTTCGTGATAAGAAATACCGGAATTTGCAAAAGCGGAATATTCTGAGGTTCGGAAATTTTGAAATTCGGACTTTTCGACATAAAGTTTCAAAAGAGCCGAGAACACCTGGAGCATTATTTTTTCAGTTAAAGAAAATGATGTCTGCAGAGGAAACCATGGAAGCGCTGAGAGAGTTTGCGCCACAGGCTGATAACATGACACAATATCTCACTTCGAATGTCGAAACATCTCAGGTTTTCAAAGAACAAAGAATTTTTATTTAATTAAAAATGGGTTTTAGCCTCTGCCATTTGATGTTGATCATGGGTTTGCGGAGTACATCAAAGCGAACTGTTACGATAAAAGACGAAGCGTGGTGAAAAACTCCGTCAAAGAAGTGGAGAGTGACGAGCTGAAACAACAAATTTCAGCACATGGAGAGATGATAGAAAAGATCAAGTCCGACCCAGAATTAAACTCGAATTATAGATTTGATGCGATTTATAATGAAGAAAAAATGAGACAGATTTGCCGAGTTTTGGCACAAAGAACTATGATCTCGCAGGGACGTATAGTAGAGATTTCCACATGCGGTGAAGACCGAAATATTAAAGTCCCAGAGTAAAAAAATTCTCATTTACTGAAACTATATGAAGCAAAAACTTTCAGAAGCATCTTAGACTATCAAACGATTTATTTTCCGCCCGAAAAAAGGATTCAAATCATGAAAAATATCACCTTCAACAAGAAAGATGTGATTCCAGTTTATTCTGACATAGCTGGCGAAACCGTTGAGTCCATTTCGATTCCGAATTCACTTCTTTTTGATTATACCGACGTGAACTATTTCAACCAGACCGCAGAGCACAATTTGGCGAGAGCTGTAAAAATGGCGGCGGAAGACAAAAATACTGTATGATTTTGATTTTTCGGCTCAAGTTTCAAAAAGGTTTCAGATCAAATGCAGCTGTTGTTCTTCTGATCCAGACAAAAAAGTAATTCGATGCTATGAGAATAGAAACTGTCCATGTTTCATCATGAATGAAAAACTGCAGAAGTTTCAAAAGCCAACAAATGGTAACTCCCCTGCCAAATTTGTAAGTTTTATAATCTGAATTTAGTGTTCGCCGGGTACAAAAAATCGGAGAAGTAAAAGAGAAATGTCGGTAGCCGTGAAAAAAAATCGGAAAATAAAACTATTTTTAGGTTACGGTATTTATAGTTGTGGTACTTTCGGCCACCGGCGTTCCTCTTCCACAGCTACAATTTTTTGTACCACTATAATAAATGAGTGTATTTGTTTCTAGACATCCTTCGAACCAATTCACTTCACCTCGACCGATCGGCACTTTTATCAACACATGGGTTTTGCATGTTCAGAACTCTGTGGATGCGAGGCTAAATGCACCAATAATGTTCTGATGATACCAAACAAACGTTTGTTCCCCGTCGAAATGTTCAGAAGCAACGAGAAGCTTGGATTCGGTGTTCGTTCGAATGTTCTCATTCCTGCTGGAACACCAGTCACCGAATTCGTTGGAGAGATTATCGGGGAGCAGATTCACATGGAAAACGTAAATTGGAACAATATCGAATACGCGTATCAAGTCACATATGGGGAAGATGATGTTATGAAGCAGCTCGTGGATCAGGCAACCTTTTCGAAAAATTACAAAAGTCTCATAAAGGATTTATATGCTAGCATTTCATATTACTTGGATCCGACAGTTTGCGGAAATTATGCACGCATGGCAAGTCACAGCTGTGCTGCCAACATGGAATTGGTTCGAGTCTTTCAAAAAAGTCTTTCTCCTGCCCATATTCATCTTGTGATGGTGGCAGTAACCGATATCTTTCCTGGCACGCCGGTGAGTAAAAACGTTTCGCCACAAGTTTGTACTGCGATTTCAGATAACCATCGACTACGGAAACGATTATGCGACACGACTTGAAAATAAGTGTCAATGCGGAACGTTTGCCTGCTTAAATGGGCCCGAATCAAGAGAGATGAAAAACGCATCACATGCTGAAGTATGATTTTATCATTAAAGGGGGACCCGACCAAAAATTGTTAAGCTGTGTGTATAATATCACTGCAAAAGAATCACCTAAACCAAAAAAAATCACCTAATTTCACTGCGAAAAAATTACAAAAAAGAGGATATCCCCGAAAACGCAGTTGTATAAAAAATGGTGGCGAATAGGGACGAGTATTTGAGTTCCCCGCAGTAAGAAACCTAGATCGCGGCAGCGAAACGCCTTTTTTACATGGATGGAAAATTTACCGAGTTCTTTCCTCTTTCATCTTCATCTCGTAAATTTGTGAGCAACTTTAAAAATGCATCCCGGTGTCGTGACCTAAGTTTCTCGCTACGCGGGAATCCAAATCCTTGTTCCTATTCGCCACCTTTTAAAGCAAAATTCTCACTCCAAACGACATTTTCGTAGATTTCAAGTTTTTAAAAATATTTTTTTCACAATAATATTAGGAAAATACATAACTTTTCAAACATTTTAATGCAATCAAAAGCTCTGGTCGGAGTCCCCCTTTATGTCGCAAAAACTTGATTTTACAGCTTACGAAATACCACCAAGAACTGTCCCAGTTGGAATTGAAAAAGTGGTATAAAAACGTCCAGGTTCATTTCCTCTAGAAGTTGATGAGGCGATCATGAGTTTGGATTTCAACATTTTTTATTTTCTGTCTTCACAAAATTGTCAATCTTTTTTACACAAATTTGTTTTTTGCTTTTATTTTTTGCTTTAGAGCTCATAAAGATTTTTTTCATACTTGCAAAATTACGGGCCGGCCCGTCGAGAATTTCAGCTGACCGGGCCAATGAAGTGCCGGCCCGCTGTTTGTACAGAAGGTGATTTCTTTCGAATTTATTTTTGAATTTTTGAATTTTGAAAAATTTTCAGTAATTTAAATAAACCAGAAACTATGTATTTTTGTCTTCTTTCTACTTTGATAACTTTTAGAAGTCATCTTTCTACTTCGATAACTTTCAGAAGAAAATTCAGTTTTATTAGCGAGTACCTTCGTTTCTTCTTTTTCAATTAAAAACATATTTTGCCTTTTGGTACTCTCTCCCAGCCATGTAAGTCTAACGAATTTGAAGGAACATAAGAGGAAACGGTTTGGTATCGCCACGCTGGGCGGTGGTACTGTAAATGTTTCGGCGGTCTCTGTTCATTTCGCTAAAAAAATATTGAAATCGATAAAGGCTTTATCAAAAAGCATGTTTTTAAACCTATTTATGAATGTATGAATAGATTAAAACATTTATGTAATTAATAACTTCATAAATTTGAAGATGTCTATTTCCCCGTTGTTTTGTGCGAATAATCTTTCCCTTACTTTTTACCGACGGCTTAAAAAATTGCCTGGAATTCTTTTAGTAGCCTTTCGTGCTGTTCTCATATATTTTCACTCTTTGCAGGCAAAGATCGACCCATGCCGAAATGAAGCTCTTTCTGATTTTCTCATTTCTCACCCTGCAATTTAACAGTCTACGCGCCCGTTCTCCTCCGGTCTCTCTCTTCGGTCCTTGCCAGCACCGATGTATCGAAAGAGTATGTTCATCATAAATTAGGATGCACTAATATTTCAATTTTAGTTCGGAGATTCGCAAACAGTGCGCACGAACGCGGACACACTCTACCGAGAAATCAACGTTGTCAACAATACCGAATACTCTCTGTGCAGATTAGGATGCACTCATCCAGAATTCGAAACGCTGAGCCTTCCTGAGTTTACCTTCGGACAGTCCGCATATCGGGAGATTGTGGACAATCAGACCAGTGCGAAATCAGAAGAAGTTCAGAAGAATATTGTCAAAGAAGTTCGATTTTTGTGTTTGGATCATCAAGATGAGGGATTTACTGGAAGAGTGAATATGCTTTTTGAGAAAGATGTAGAAGAGTCGAACCATATTCATTATGTTGAGCTCATTTCTCGCGATGAAGGAGATGACGAAGAAGTGATCCTTCACCACAGTTGGTGCTACAATTCGAATTGTTATATAAATTTCAACAATACGTTCCTCGTAGATTTCCGCCTTCGAGTGTCCGCATTTAATGGAAATGGAGCTGTTGGTCGTCGTTTATCGAAATGGTACAATGCTCGAAACTTACTCTCCGTTTCAAACGATTTGTCGCTGAAGAGTGTCGAATGGAAAGACGACAAAGCCGTCGCGCGATTATCACCAGATTCGAACTCAGGAATCCCTGCTTGTTCTTATGAGATACAGTATAAAAACGCACTGAGTTCTGAATATACGACGGTGAAATTTTACCTGGATCATACGAATGAGCTGCTAGTAAGAGGACTAGAATTCAATCAAAATTACACTGTGACATACATCAGTGATCTGATCGGAGAACTTGTGTCAGTTGATGTCAGTGTTCCGGCATGCAGTCTTATGGTCACTGATGTAACAATGTGTGGTAAGAGAAGTAAATAAAAATTACAGTGAATAAGAGTTTCAGCGCCACCGTCCGTCTCTTCTCTACATTCAAGATGGAACACTTCTTCGGGTGAAAATGATTTGGAAATCGACTGGAACTATTTTTGGGTTCTTGACGCAAACACCAACAGAATTGACCGATCGATACGCACATCTCACTTTCATATTACTGTGCATCCTCTCATAACTCCGAACAATCCAAACTGCGAGAAGTATGAACCCATTCGGCGAGACGTTGACAATCTGCAGCGTCACGTTAGCTTCAGAATTTCTGATGCCAAATGCAACTATGAAGTGGAAGCCGTCGTTTTTGATACGAAAAGAAGAAAGAGTGAGACGAAGAAAATGAAGGTAGCTTTGAGAAAAAAACCACGATTTGTTAAATCATATTCTTAGATTGTGCGTATCAACGAACCGTCCTACATGGCACTTCTCCCAGCTACTGATGTTCAAACCACCATCGGTCTTGTCGTTCTTCTCACTTGCGCCATCATATTTTTTACTTTAATCATTTTGATAATCTTGTTGAAAAAAAGAAATCAATCAAGAAGAAGGAGAAGGGGAGAGACTGTGTGCTACGCATATGTCGATGAACCGTCGCGAAAAATCGTTGGAGTGAGACAGCCGGGAGCTCGATTTTTGCCAGTCGAAAATATGAATAGAGATGTAGAGGCGGGGCTAGCGCAACGAACCGTCGGATGCAATATTCAAAACGGGCCCAAAGTGAATATGTTTCAAGTTCTTCCCCAGCCGCCATACGGAGATAGTACGTCCGATCATCATTATGACTACATTAGCGAATATCAAGTGGAATCCGAAATGAGCGACGAAGTTTTTGAGGTGTGTCACTCTCTAAGCTACTTTGTAATTTAAACATTTAGGAAGACATTTGCATCTCTACACCGAACACTCCCTATCGCATAATGGATTCCCCATCTTTCTGTCTGATGGCTCCAATCGCTCCGTTCGAGGAATTTGATGATCTGCCGGCGTATGCATTTCAAACATTCCGATTTGGAAAACCGTACGAGCGACCTGGTAATCCGTACTGCCTGATGACGACCGCAATGGATGTCTCTAGAGGCAACTGCTTTTCTTTGAAATATCCGAGAGATTATTGTAAGTATTCGGTGTGATTTTAATTCTAACACAGTCAATTTTTCTAGCCGAACCAACGAGAAGGGCGTTGCGACGTGAGCTCGAAATCCTTCGCATCCTTCCCCTCCATCCGAATATTGTTCACTTCAATGGAGTTGTCATTGGAAGATGGGAGAACATTCCATACCAAATCACTGGAATTTTGATGGAAGAGTGTCTTGGTGGAACTCTCCACGACTATATCAATTCGGCCGGTTTCGTACTTCGTCGTCAAGGAATGAGAACCCCAGATGATGTTTGTCTCCCAATCGCCAATGAATCCCCGAACCAGTCATCTGGATATAACAGTTTCACGAGCAAAGGTCGACAGACTCCAGAACAGAAAACTAACCAGGACAAAAACTCATGTCAAATAGTTTCTTCCAAATTCATTGGTTTCGCTGAGCAGATTTCAAGCGCCTTGGAGCATCTTCATTTCGTTCGAATCATTCATTCGAGAGTGTCCTCAATGAGCATCTTTCTCTCATGTGACTTCACAGATCCTCTGGAAATGCCATCTGAACAAATTGTGAAGCTTGGTGACTTCTCAAACGCATTCCCAAATTCCAATGATGCATCAGTGTTGGATCCAATGTTGCAGCCTCCTGAAGTCATGATGGGCAAGAAATTCGAAACGAAAGGCGACATTTGGCAAATGGGAATGTGTCTCGTGGAGATGTGTACGCTTGGTACTCCATTCGCAATGCAAAAGCATATTCCGATGTCTGGAGTTTCAGAATTGTAAGGTTTAATTTCTTCGAGTGGTTGAAAACGAAACATTTGCAGTGACAAGCTCCCGTCAACCCGTTTCATTCGTGATACCGCCAAAAAGTGTCTTCTGAAACCTCGAAGTCGTCCAGAAGCTGCGAATCTCCGCGTGAATATCAGCAATTATACCGGATAGAGATCAACAGCTTTCCTTTTTTCCTTTTTAGGTTTTAACAATTTTTACTCAACTTACCCAGTTTTTTTCTTGGATTCAGATTTTTATAATAACTTGATATGATAAATAACCAGTTTCCTACCACCACTTCCCCAGCCCCCTTGATGTCTTATAATAACCATTTAGTCCCCAAGATCTCTTACTTCCCTGTTAATGATCTCCCCAATCAATTTGCCATAGAAAAATCCCCCTCATTCTGAGTATATGTAGATATATTTTGTTTGCTACTGCCTTATCGTTTCATTCCATTTTTTACTCGAATTATCCTGTAGGTAATATCTTTTATGTTTTAAAAACACTCCGCGCTCTTCCCCTCAATTCACATTCCATCAGCTGATTGTGTCATTGTTACCTTTCCGAGAACTGTCATGTCGAATAAAAAGTGAAAAAAAAGACTTCTCTGGCAATGAGTACAGTAGGGAACGAGAGAAAATCCACTTGTAAGTCTCGATCGCGAGATAAGTTCTGATCATTCCCTAATCAGAAAATTTCTGGATCTTCAAGTTTCTAAATTTTCTGATTTTGTTTTTTCCTAGAATTCCGAATTTCAGTGTTTTTCAGACTTTGGATTTTTAGATTTTCGAAAAAACATTTTCAAAATCTAGATTTAAGACACAATCTCTGAGAAACTCGATTTTTTAGCAAAATCGGATGAAAAATCAAAAATTTCACCTGAAAGGAAACGAGTTAGAATTTTGTTTCAATACCAAAAATGCTCAAAATAGGAAAAGTAATTCATTACAAGTTAGATCGCATCAGAGAATGTGTCTTAAATCTTAAAATTTCGTTAATTTCCAGATTTTTTTCCGAATCGCATGAATTCTGAAACAAAAACAGATTTTTGATATTTTTTGTAAAAAGATATTGAATTTTAAAATTTCAAAAGTTCAGAAAGTCAGAAAATTAAAAAAAGTTCTCAAAATTCAGAAAATCAGAAATTCAAAAAGTTCAGAACACCTAAACATTCCAATGAATTCCAAAATTCCGAAAACTAAAAATATCATAATATTCTGCAAAACGTTTTTTGGGCATATTCATGTGCGTCCTACAAAAAATTAAGCTCAAATCTCCAAAATAAAATTTTTTTGAAATTTTAGTTTTTTTCCGAAAATCACTTCAATTTCGGTTATGTGGCCTACTGCAAATGCGTGTTATAGTTTTATTGTTTTACAGACACAATATTCAAATACTTCTGAAGCTTTCTGATGTCATATTTATGTGCTTTTTTTTTTGAAAATTGTTTTTTCTCCAAAAATCAACATAATTATCTTCCAAACAGAAATTTTTTTTAAAGTTTTAGTATCTTGAAACCAATGAATTCCAAAATTTCAAAATGATTGAGTTTCCTGATTGCTTAATTTTTAAATTAAACAATTTCCGAATCCGTTTTCTGAATTCCAAAAAGTCGAAATTAAAAGATTTAGAAATGGACATTAATATTATATAACATAAAAATGATTTCAAAAATTCTGAGATTTTGAATCTCCGGTTTTGGACTCCCTGAGTTTCAAACATTTTGAACATTCAAAAAAAATCAAAAAGTGAGAATTGTTGGAATCTGTAAATTGTGAAATTCGAAGTATCGGATATTCCGAAAATCGAGATTCAGAGATTTTAAACTTTAAAACTTTGGGAGTCATTCTCAAAATTTAAAAATCGGATAAGAAATAAAGTTTTGAAATATAACAATTTTCAAAACGAAACCTCTGAACTTGGATTTTTCTACTTCTCAATTTCAAATGTTTTAATCAGAATTTACAAATTTTTGAATTCTTGATATCTGGAAATATCGGAAACTCAAAAACTCAAAAATTCTAAGAGAAGAAAATTCTGAAATAATCCGGAAATTGTAGAAAGTTTAAAAAAAAACATTAAAAAAAATCAAGAAAGTACGAGAAAATTCCAAAACATTCTAGGAAATTTCAGAAAAGTCAAGAACATTAAAGAAATTGTCGAGAAAACTCCGGAAAGTTCCAAATCATTCTAGAAAGTTCCATAACATTCTAGAAAATTCTAGAAAGTTCTCAAAAATTCCAAAACATTCTAGAAAGTTCCAAAACTTCCTAGAAAGCTCCAGAAAGTTTTTGAATAATCCTGGAAATTCAAGAATATTTAAGAAAATTCCAAAATATTCTAGGAAGTTTCAGAACATTCTAGAAAATTCCAAAATTTTCCAAAAATGTCTTGAAATTTTTCAAATATTAGCTTTCTCTATAAGAATCCCTATACTTTCAGTGAAATCTAGAACCAAAGGCTTAGAAAAAGTGTCATTCGAAAATTGGTGGATTTTGCTTCAAACTTAGAGACTTTCGAAATTCAGAAAATTGTATTCTGTTATCAAAAAACAGGCATTCGTCATGAAAAAACTCGGAAACTCGGAAATTCAGAATATAGGATATCTGAATTCAGTTATCGTGTTTTTTCTAAAAACCGACAAAACTTTATGGAAATAACCAGAAAATTGGGAAAATGATACGTTTGCAATAACCACAAAAATAAACGGCTTAGCCAGGGTAGGATTCTAGCAGAGGTGGGCATCAAATAGATGTGGATTTCTATGGAAAAAATCTAAAATTTGAAAATTGATATTTTTCGAAGTTTTATGGCACTCGAAAAATGAAAATTCGGAAATTAGTAAAAATCAAGTGTAAGATACAGTTAACGGAAGCCAGGAGGCTGAGCCCCCGGCAGGGGGTTCAAACCGACCGGTATATCATATTGTAAATTGTACTGCGAGAAACCAGTTGGAAATCATTCAGATACAACGTTTATCAACTACAATTTTCTTCTCCAAATAGCACGACTACATGTGTAGTGACCGCTAAATCATCGAAGACTATAACCTCTTTGTCATCATTTTTACCAGAGACGATGACGATCAAAATGGTTCGTAAAGACAATATAAAAGTACAAAAAGTGATCGAATTGATAGAGATGCACCTCAATCTACTCTTCTTTTCAATTCTCTCCTCTTTTCCTGTTTTCACATTCTCCTACAACTATCTGGTATTCTGCCCATTATTCGCTCACAGTCATCATAAGTTCCTTGCTAAAATCGCTGACACTCTAACAGATGCAGGTCATAATGTAACTTTTCTTGCTCCAATCATAGTCAAAGAATATGAACACATCAAATATTTGGAGACCACAAAGGATATTATATACATTCAACCTGATGAAAACTTGAAACAAATTGGAGATTCTGCAGATTACGCAAGTTTCTGGAAGGATGATTTTGGAATGTTTTCAATGCTTCCAGCTATTGAAAAGTTTTATAAAATGTTTAGTGGTGTTGTAGAGAATTTGAGAAGAGATCCAACTATATTGGACGAATTGAAGACGAGGAATTTCGATGCAATGATTTTTGAGTCGTTGGCAATCTGTGCCCACCGTAAGAGATGTACTTCAAGTACTTAATGGAATGAATTTCTCCAGCAATTCACGAGTATCTGGGCATCAAGACAATATTCCCATCCTTCTCGATGACTCATATGACGGAACTGAGCAAATCAATCGTGAACCAGTCTCTCCAAGTTTCTTACCCAGTAGGATGCTCAACTTTTCAAAAGATCATGTAACAAACTTTTAGTTTCCGTATCACCTTTTGGGGATCAAATGACATTCAAGGAACGCCTTCTAAATACGCTTGGGGATTTTACGTTTACTCACATTTTCAAGCCGCCTGTCTTGAAATCTCTCAAATATCCATATAATGATCTGGATATAAATGTAAGTTAGCTATACTTATCAAATTCATTAAAAAAACGCTTTAGGAAATTCAATCAAAAGCCCCGTTTGTGTTTTTCAACTCCAATCCATTCCTCGATTTCCCTCGTCCAACACTCACGAAAACCATAGCCATCGGTGGAATTTCTGTGAATGTGACTCAAATGAGATTAGAGAAACTGTCTTCTGAATACGATCAAATTATGAGTCAACGAAAGAAAAATGTATTGATTTCTTTTGGGTCAATGCTCCGATCTTGTGAAATGCCAGATGAATATAAGTAAGCATACAATTTCAAACTCTTCGGGAATGTTTTTTTTTCAGAAACATGATTATACGTGTAGTGGAACAGCATCCAGAAGCGACTTTCATTTGGAAATATGAATCCGAAGATTTAGATTTTGCAAAGAACGTAAAAAATCTACATTTCTCGAAATGGGTTCCACAAACTGCGCTTCTTGGTGATTAAAATGAATTTTGACAGTCAAGAAAAAAATATCCCGATTCAGCTGATTCCCGCCTCTCCGCTTTCATAACTCATGCTGGATTAGGAAGTGTCAACGAATTGAGTTATTTGGGAAAACCAGCAATTCTTATTCCAATCTTCGCCGATCAACTCAGAAACGCAAAAATGTTAGCCAGACATAATGGATCAATAACTCTCGAGAGGAGAGATTTGGGAAACTTTGAACGATTGGAAAAGGCAGTGGATAGTATCCTCAATGATGAAAGGTGATAAATTATGAAAACTTCATTTCTGAAACAAGATGATTTCAGCTATCAAAAATATGCAAATCGCCTGGCTCACCAGTTAGAAAGCCAACCATTCTCCCCTCATGATCTCTTAGTGAAATATGCAGAATATGGTGCAAAGTTTGGAGAACTCCCGTCGTTGGATCCATATTATCGCAAGATGTCGTTCTTCTCATTTTATATGATTGACATTTTCTTATTCTTATTTTTCGTTCTAATCTCCATAGTTTCTGTCCTAACTTTTTCGATCGTAATGATCTTTCGAAAAATTTCTGTTACGAAACAGAAGATCAACTGACAATAGCTACAGATAAGTGTACAATTTATAAAATAAAGGGATTCATTTTTTTCTTTTTTAAGGTCATTTCTCTTTCAATAGGGCTATACATTAGCCTACGCGTAGTTTTCAACTCTTTTAAACCAGTTCATGGCAGTACAAATACAACGATTTGATGACAGGATCCCACCGGTCAATATGATTTTCTACCGTATTCTCATCCACTTGTTTCTTCTAATTCCTATTGTGCCATCAGCCAAATTTCTCGTATATTGTCCACTATTCGCTCATAGTCATCATACATTCCTTGCTAAAATAGCAGACACACTCAGGTCACAATGTAACTTTCCTTGCTCCTATCATTGTTGAGGGATACGAAAATATAAAATATTGGAAGCATACGACGGATATAATTTATATTCAACCTGATGAAAAACTGAAGGAACTTGGAAAAGTGATAAAATCCGTTGAGTTTACAAAATATTGGACAGAAGAGCTTACTGTATTCTCCATGATTTCATCTATCAAACTATTCCAGAAAATGTTTTTCAAAATTTATGAAAACTTCAAGAAGGACTTGCGAGTTTTGGATAGTTTGAAAACTCGAAAATTCGATGCAATAATTTATGAAGTTTTTGCCTTCAATGCAATTGGTACCAAGTGCTTTGTAATGTCTATAACTTTTGAAAATTTCAGCAATTCAGGAATATCTCGATATCAGAACATTGTATCCAGCCTTTTCCGTCACTCACAGCTCTTCACTGAGCAATTCTATTGGGGAGCCATCTTCACCAGCTACACTGTCAGGTGGCTAAATATTTGATTCGAATTTTAACTGAGAATTACAGGATCTCTTTCTCCGTTTGGAGATAAAATGACGTTTGAAGAACGACTGATGAATACACTGTGCAGTTTTATATATGGAGTTTTATTGAGACCACCGACGATGAGTTCATACAAATCTCCCTACCATACCATTGATTTGAATGTTAGAATTGGATTTTATCATAACTTGAACAATATTCTTACCTTTAGGAAGCAGAGTCTCGTGCACCATTTGTCTTCTTAAATTCCAATCCATATCTCGATTTCCCGCGTCCAACGCTTACAAAAACTGTCCAGATTGGAGGGATTACAGTGAACAGAACTCAAATGAAACAAGAAAAATTACCGTTGGAATTTGATAAAATTCTGGAAATTAGACAGAAAACGGTGTTAATTTCATTTGGGACAATTATGCTCTCCAAAGATACGCCAGAAGACTACAAGTAAAACATTCGAAAGGAAAAGTTCAACTGGTGCTTTTTTTCAGAATCAACATTCTCAAAGTGATTGAATCATTTCCAAATGTAACATTTATTTGGAAGTATGAATCTGACACATTCGAAAAAGCCAAGAATTTAAAAAAATCTATATTTATTCAAATGGATTCCTCAAATTGCTTTACTAGGTTGATATCTTTTACTATTCAAAAAAATGAACACTATTTTCAGCGGATTCTCGTCTTCACGTTTTCATAACTCATGCTGGATTGGGAAGTGTGAATGAACTGAGCTACATGGGAAAACCAGCTCTTCTAGTTCCTTTATACGCTGATCAATTGAGAAACGCCAAAATGGAACGTCATAAAGGAGCGGTTTTGATAGATAAAAAGGATTTGGCAAACTTTGAATCGCTGAGAAATACTTTTGCAGACGTCTTGAACAATCAAAGGTTTACCGTATTTATCTTTTTATAATGTGAATTTTGTTTTCAGTTATAAGAAAAATGCTGAATTACTAGCAAGACAACTGGAACTTCAACCGATTACTCCTCAAGAACTACTATTGAAACATGCTACTTTTGGAGTTGAGTTTGGAGAGCTGCCTTCTTTGGACCCATATTCCCGTCAAATGTCTTTTTTCACTTTCTTCATGATTGACGTTTACCTTTTCCTTTTCTGTTCTTTTGTTGTGTTATTTTATATTCTGTTTGTAGTTGTACGTTTTCTATTTTGTTGGGTGTTTAGACAACAAAAACTAAAGCAAAAGAACATTTGAAAAATATCTTGAACAAGCAATTTTATTGAGGTGCTCAAAATTTTGAAACTGAAATATATGAGTTTTTTTTTCAATATCATAAATGCATTTGTTTTGTATTATTACACACTGGGTAGTACTTTATTATTTGTAGGCAAATACAGCAGACCGGGCGATTCTTTTCGTTGTCAAACTTTTCAAGCAAGGACGCGGTAGTCCCGGGCAAAGAACAATCTGAAAACAGTTATTCTTACAGGAATACTTGACCTTAGCCTATTCTCACCTGTAAACACCAGCAGCAATGAACGCTCCGATGACTGGTCCTACGTAGTAAATCCAGTGATAGTTCCAGAACATGTAAAGGGAATTCAAGTTCTCTGGTTTCAAGAAAAACTGTCCCATGATGTTCGGTCCAAAGGAGCGCGCTGGATTCATGGATGCTCCGGAAATTGCACCTGCAGCAAGGATTTCAATGATCAGTGAGAATCCGATAGCCAAAGGAGCCAATCTGTTCTTGTCAGTGTCTACGGCACACAAAAGAACCGTTTGGACTAGAATGTAGGTGGTGACGATTTCAGCGGTCAGTCCCTAAAAATTTTCGGCATACATAATTCCACTTTCAGATGCCTTACCTCTTGCCAACCAACTCCTCTTCCGCACAGAGTGGCACCGGCTCCGATTACAAAATAAGCCTTGTAATGAAGGGAAATCTGGAATCAAGAGATAGAAAAATAAAGAAATGAAGTGTGAATTCAAGTTTCTGAAATGGAATCAAAGTTCCAAGAGTACTTTGTACAGACACTTACCCGCACAAGAAGGGCGCCGAAGACACTTCCCAGTAGTTGAGAGGCAATATAGCAGACTGCGTGGATTGGGCTGATACGACCAACTAAAGCAATTCCGAATGTGACTGCTGGATTGATATGGGCTCCACTGACACCTCCAAAGGTTGCAGCAAGTACAAAAATGGCAACTCCGTGAGCAAATGCTGCATGAAGAACTCCATCACCACCTCCGGCAGCTTGCATAGATCCTAGGAATGGAGGGATAAGGTTAGATGACATTAGTTTAATTAATTACCAATATAAACGAATAGAAGTACTGCAATGAACTCTGCAGCACATTTCGAGTAGATCGAGTAGTCCTTTTCGTCTTCAATCATTTTTGATACAATGTCGGAATCACTCTTCTAGAAAAATAACGAAGGTTGAGAACACTCTGTCAGAGGAAAGGGGAAATCGAGTGAATGACAAAATAGCCCTCCAATTATCCCGAGTATTTCTTGATTTGAAAAATGACAGAAGTTCGAGGATGGATTGATCCAATGGAACCACAACTAGTCTATTTGAATAAATGTTTTCTGTTCGGATCGGGCGTATTTCAAAACAACTTTCAAAAACGAATCGAGAATCGCTCAAAGCTCAGGGTCCCTCACTCGGAGTCCAATTCACCGTGAAATCGGCGTTTCCGGTAATTTTTTTCTTTCTTGGGATCTCGAAAAAAAAAACGGAGAAAACAACTCGGTTTTTGAAAAGAGAAAATAAACGATTTCCTTAGAGTTTGTCTACTTATGAATAATAGAATAAAAGAAGAGAATCTACGATGACTGGAGAGAACCATAAACGATGGGAACGTACGGAATGGGTGAACGAAGAAGACGATGGTGAGGCACCTCCTACCATTCTATACCGGTCGTTTGATTCGTTCTTGTTGTTCATTTTTGAAGGTGACCACCAGAAGGAGTTCAGAAATGAAGAGAAAGTGGGAGAGAGGGAGAGAGAGTCTTCACATAAAGTGCGCCTTTTTCCTCAAAAAGTCATTTAAGTTTTTCTGTTGCCCGTTTTCGATCACGCTGGTTATGATTTGTTACCAAACTTGGGGTTTCTAAAATTGGTATACTGAAATTAATGAGATTTTTTAGCCATTAATTGCGATGTTGGTTGGAAACAGTCACAACATTTGAAAACAAACCACAACAAATATGATCGAACGTCCAGACCAGGGATGTTTGGAACCGAATTCGGATTTGCGAAAATTCTGACCATTCTCGGAATGAAGTTCCAACCGGAATTAAAGATTTTTCAAAACTGATTTATGGATTTTCCAAATTAAATCTTTTTGAACTACTGTATGTCAATAATTTTGTTTCTGAAAAAGTTCAAAAAGTTTAAAAATTGAAATAAAATTGGAAATTTTAAAAAGAAAAATTCTTAAGTTTCCTAAATTCTGAAATTCCTAAATTTGGAAATTTGGAGAATCGTAATATTCAAAATTTTGAAAATCGGAATATTCCGAAATTCCGAAAAGTTGAAAACCGGAATATTCTGAAATTCGGAAATTCCAAAATTTTGAAAATCGGAATATTCAGAAATTCCGAAAACTTCCAAAAAAGCCACTCCAAACATCCCAGAGTCCAGACCAAAACTCACGATTATGAGGAAGGAATACACTCTGATTCTGACTTCTCGAGAGGAACAAAAGTGAATGGAATCGGAAATCATCTTTTTAGATGCGTGAAAGTGGTTCGGCAACATAAAAAACTAGGTTAGGTTGCTAATTAGTTACCAAACATTGCCTTTTCTGATCTAATTCATTTCTCGATAGAGGATTTGTCTAATTATGTGCAAAAAGAGAAACAAGGATGTGTAGTTTTTGCATTTGACAAACAAGAAAACAAACTAAAACGGGTTGCTATGGTCATCCGAGTGGTCAAAAGTGGGGGATGGGCACTCTATCCGTCTCTTTTTAGGAATACGAAATGGAGCCATTCTGATGAATTTTTGTTTAGTGGTTCTTTCTATTCGAATGGAAAGGAAGGAAGGAGCCAGAATTGCGAGTTCGGCGGAGCAGAATAAAAGAGCACGAGGTTTTTTTTTCTGGATGCATCAAAGGTTGAGGTTCAGGAAACTACGAATAGGTTATTTCTGAGTATATGGGGTCCGTTGAGTCATAGCTTTTTGAATAAAAACCCAAGTAAATATGAATTCAAATTCAATTTAGCAAGCTCATCAGAATTGAAGAAATCTGAACTGACGGGAAGTGACATACCAATTTTTCTGTGGTTTGATTGAATGGATCAACATTGAGGATTACATCTGAAGCACTCCGTACCATTGGTGACGGAAGCTTCTCAGGATCCAGATAGACTGGACAGGTCTCCATTTCAAAATAGTACAGTAGCCAGGTGCTAATATTAGAATGAGACTAGTGAGGGTGTTTTTCACTTTGACCTGACTGTTTTCGTAGAAAGTGAGGAACGGAGATAAATTAGGTCGAAAGGAACGAGTAACTCGTTTTGTTTTCATCATCACCACCTGACTTTTTTCTGTCACGGAATACAAATAGGAATTCGAAACAAAATGAGAAAATCAGAGATACAGTAAGAAACGAACCTGCTCAAAATCGGGTCTCTTGTTCATCTCGCCACGATACTTTCCGAATGTTTTCATCTCAAACACATCAGCGCCATAGAGACCCCCGTTGTTCACTTTTATGACCATCTTGCAAGTTTTTGTCACTTCAAAAGAATGAAGGGGTGTACTATAAAAAAAAGCTTCCTGAAAAATGGAAAGAATTGGCAAACATATCAGAAGGTGGTTTGTATGCAAAAATATGGCGAGAAAATACTGTTTTTCGCATAAATAATATGGAGAAAAAATGTTCCAGAAGTTGGGAAGCTTCCCAACTTTTTTGTCTTTCTCGCGATCGTGTTTCATAGAAGAATATTTACTTTTTATGACTAAAAGGTCAAAATATTTGGCTTGGCAATCAATCTGTTTGTTGATCAGATAATAAATTATTGGTAGCGCTTTTGAGGTCAGAATAAAGTCGGAACCACAGGAACTTGAAGTTTGACCGAAAAAGCTGGCTAGACTCTTCTATATGATATATAGATTATAAGTAAATATGAGTAAAAAGATTAGACGACATTTTTGGTTTTAGTTTCGGGAATTTTTTTTTCGATCTAAAAGAAAATATACAAATTTGGGCTTGAAGTTTGTACTGTTTGCTTAGAATTTCAGAATTTTTCCTACAAAAGAAATGGGAATCATTGGAACCAGCAAATAAATTTCCTATTCATAGAATAGAAAAGCTTCCAAACATTTACTGACCGCTCCTTCATTTGTCCATCTGTGAAAATCATACATGTAAACCGGGTTCTGGAAGGCCTTTGCGGGTCCTGATTAGAATTTTTGGCCTAACCGAATGAGATATTATAGAACTCAACGAGTACCACGAAATGATATTATTTGGAAAACGGTTTCTTATTTATGAAAAAAGCTACACACGAAACAGACCGAAAACACAGGCCCGGCCCGGATAGAATCAGCCATTTTATGACTGATAACTTTGTTCATTGACAAGATACATCTTTCCAAATAGTGTCATTTTGTAGTGCTCGTCGAGTTTGTCCAAAATATTGATTCTAAAAGAAACTATGGCACGCCCGGTTTGAAAGTATGCTAAAACTCAATGTTGGGTCACACAACATTACGGCCTCCCTAAAATGGTTCGAAAGAGAATATGGAACATATTTGATGCTTTAAATGATAAGTCACCTGTCATTATCACCTTATTAACCAGCAGATGCTCAATTCTTTTTAGAAAATACCGACTATGAACGTCTTACGAATTCACCTCCACATCAAAAGCAACGCACCGTCCTCATCTTCCGATGGGCGATCTTTAATGTTCCCGCCACGGAATGCGTCTCATACAAAATCCACCGTATTCTCTTTGATGTGATTTTGATACTGGACGCATTCTGTGGAAGGTTCATGACAATAGTTAGGACGAGAATATGAAAATAATAAGAATTGGAGCGATGAGTTTCCTATTTATACTTATTCGACTACGGTAGGAGGCGGAAACCCTACAGGTGCGAACATCTGCAAGTATGAGCCTTGGAGAAGGATTATGAATTGAAATAATGGTATACGGTAAGTGAATTTTCAAACGTGAACTTGAAATGTTCACCTGGAAAAAGAAATTTGACTAATAGTAAATGAGCTCAACGGAACTTCGTGGACATTCTTTTGTAGATATTAATTTAATTCAGCAGTGAACATGAAAATTTGGTGTCTTTCGATTCTAATTTTGTCCAATATTTCCTTTGTTTCTAATGTAATACTTTGAGATGAATGCTATCAAATTTTAATTTTACTATGCTTCAGGGACACCTAAACACATGTGCTGCAATCGACAAAACTTCTAAAGACCTGTCCGATGTCGTTGCTCTTTTTGTCCGTTTTAAATGGTCACCTGACGATCACACACAAAAGAACAAATCAAGTAATGTTTCTTTGCAAGATCCTATAGTTGCAACTTTTTCAAATGCAGCAAATAGTAAAAGTTCTGTATTGAATGAAGTCATGGAACGTTTTTTCTACTGTTACGGAGCCTCTGGTCGTTTAGAAGTTCGAAGTGTTGTCTTCGAGAAGTACATAAATAGTACGAATGATTGTGTTCTGAGTCAGAAACAGATATTACCAAACAGTGAGTTTTAGTGTTGTGAAATATACTTAAAGTTAACAGATTGAATTTTAGAATACCTCTTCAAGGACAAAATCGTCAGAGTCATCGAATTTCCGGCATATATCGAGAACTGTGGGAATGCGAGTGCTCGATCTGAAAATATTCGCGATCTGGTTCAAGGTATTTTTTCTATTTTCACTCAAGATATGAAATTCGATTTCCAGAAGCAGAAATTGTAGCTGATCTTAAAATTGCTATGTGCTATGATCACATCCTCAATAAAGAAGATTGCAAAAATATGAAGTTTCTGGGTCTCGAGATGATTCCGGTTGGCCATGAAACTCTTTTTTATGGTAATTTTCATAATTTCTTCTCATAATTCAATTTATTGTTCCAGAGACTCTAGAGAAGTACATTGATAATCTTCCTTCGATTTATGTAAATATAACCACAGAATCTGGGAACCTGATATCAAAGTACAAGTATTTCTCTTCTGTTTCCAACAATTTCGTTCTTTGGCCATCATTTTTTGCCATTCTCACTGTAATCTTGTTTTTCTTCGGAAGTGTTTTTCTCTGTTGTTGTGGTCTCGGTCTATTTGCATTGGTCGAGGAAGGTGAGCATCCAATGGGGGCGGAGCCTTAATCTACCGTAACCCTCTTTCTGCAGATTTCCAGAAACGGAATGAGGAAAGAGATTGGTTGGCTCTCCAAGTGAGAAGGAATGAAGACCGTGAAGTGTATGCAGTGTCTCCTGCTTTATCACAAAATGGTTGTCTTGCAACTGCTATCTCGAAACACTCGACATCTAATGTGAGTTTTCAGCATGTGCCAGTATTCTCTGTTGGCGCTCCCCATTTAGCCCCCATCTACTCCCCGTTCACCTCTTCCCAGTGGGCAGGGGAATCCCCACTTACTCCCCACATAGTCCCCGCTTGTAAGGAAGGATGACCTGAAATTCAGTATTCCCTGTTTTGCCCCCATATAGTTCCCATAACGGGTAACTCCCATATCACCCGGGTAACTCCCAAATAGCCTGGGTAACTCCCACTTTGATTGGGTAACTCCCAAACTTCACGGGTAACTCCCACATCAGCTCCGATTAGGCCCCAAACCTCTCCCCAGAATTACCTGAGTAGTATCACAAACGTTTTATCCATTGACACATTTTTGATATCTCGCATAGGAGCCAAGAAAAATTACCTCAAACTTGACTGTGTGGGGGCCCTTTTATTGTAGGTTTTACGGCAACTAATTTATTTTTCAGTTGGAAACAGCAAAAAGCAACACCAGCTCTTCTAAATCCAGTTCCAGTTCCGATGTTGTTACAGACAGTACCCAACCTACTGAAACGGTAGGTTCCCATACTTTTATTCAAATTTTCAGTTTCTGAATTTCAGATTTCAGGAACCACTCGTACCGCCAGATCAAAAATTGAAACAAATTTAGAAACGGCAAAATCATCGAACTCGAATTAGATCAGTGAATATAAAACTTTATTTAGATCAATTATTTATTCTTCCCGTGTATTTTAGCGCTATTTTTGCTGTTGTTGTCGTTTAGATGTTGTTCACCGAGACAGTAGTATTTCTTCTCACTTTCCTCCGAGTTGGGAAACGACGGAGTAGAGCATTGTTGGCTACAGCTGACATTTGAGCTGAAAAAAACAATTTAGTTGATTTGAAAAGTTTTTCATTTAAGGTGAACATGTAAGTAGGAGATTGAATTATTAAACGGGAAACAAGGAACGCTGTATGGGAATGGAAAAGTGCTAAAAACGATTCTAAAGCTGACATTTGGATGTTTACCTTCGCAATCAAATAATGACATCTGGCACATCTGAAACCCTAATTTCTTATTTTCATAACAACAAATATTACTTTTTCTGTTTTCGGATTCTCACCTTGTTGTATTTGTTGATCTTCAATTGCTCTCTGCTGTGCTGTTGCAAATTTCTCAACAATCATTGAAATCGGAAAAGCCAGAACAATGATTCCACAGATGGATGTTGAAGTAGCAACTAGTTTACCAACTGTAAAATTAATTTTGAACTTTAAGATTTTTTAAAATTTCTCTTACGAGTGGTGACCGGCTTTGCGTCTCCATATCCTACTGTAGCCATTGTCACCCTGTAATTCATGAATGAATGAGATCTAGGATCTTCTCAACGGTAATTATCACTTACACACACCACCAGCAACCGGCAGGGATACTGTAGAAATCCGTATGCGGCTCGTCTTTCTCCAAATAATACATGATCGTTGAAAAGAAGACGATTCCGGTTATCAAAAACATGCTGAGCATACTCAATTCTGTTATAGAAGACTGGAGAGTGTGACCGAACGTCTGGAATTTCAAAGGTTAGAAATTTGGAAACTAGAACTTCAGCAACTCACTTGTAGACTTGTACTGTATCTTGCCAATTTGAAAACTCTCGCCATTCGAAGAACTCGAAGAACTCTAACCACTAGCATGGCACCTAAAACTCGAAAGCATGAAATTTCATGAAGGATTAATAGGAATACATGCATGTTTAACTGTTAGTCAAATCTGAATTAGTATGTGTACATCGACATGTTATCAAAACTGTTTTTCACCAACAGACTCTACAAAATGTCGGCGTTTCTTACCTAAAAAAGGCCATCCGGATGTAATACCTGGAATGGTTTATCCGTGCAATTTTTACCTTTCCATTGTTTTTGAAGCCCCGACAAAAAATGAATACAAACCTGTAAACTCTTTTAGACGAGATTCTACTCCAAATAATGGAAGACAGATTTCCAAATAAAATGGGAGAATTGTAGAAAGATCAATTATGTTGAGAGTCTTCTTCACAAATTGTCGTTTCCGGGGGTATATGAAAAATCTGGAAAAAAAACTTCGTAAGATGCGGGGATATTTGGACTTTTCGGAATTTCGGATTTCCGAATTACGTTCCGAACAGCTCTGGCAAGATGGTTGATTCTAAGCTTTACCTGACTAAATATTCGAATGTGAACCATCCGATACAAATGTACTCAAGAATTGTGAGTGGTAGATTAGGAGAATCTGTTGGTTTGTACACAAAATCTTTGAGCAACTCGTTTGGAGCCACTTCATCGTTATTACCAAATTTGTTGCCTGAAAATCTCCATACACGTGAGATATTTTTCCCTGACTCATCCCACCCAAGTCATTTGGTCGACTCTTAACATGCATAACGTGATAAGCTGCTGCGTTTGACGAGTCTGCCTGAAATTCTGGCATAGAACCAAGAATGAGGCCAACGACTGATGCGAATACGAAGAAAACGGAGAGGAGTGCGAATATGGCAGCAAAGAGGGATGATTGAGGGTCCTCCAGAAACCGCCACATCGCTAAACGAGGTCCGGCAAAACAAGCGCCATCAAAATCGGCTACGTAGTCATCTTCATTGAATGATGTGCCATGAGATAATTTTCTACTGTGATGATGGTGTTCGTTCGGTATTTGGCAACACGAGGAAAGCTGAAAGTAGTTTCTACTGATGGATATTTTTTTCCGACTGAACATTTTCAGAAGACCTTATTACCAGATCTTGAAAAATGGCTTCGTCCGAAAGTGTCAATGACCACTAACCTGATCCGGTTTAATCTTCCAATACTCCAACTCTTCTTTGAACCGTTCTACACAAACATTCTGAGGTTTATGAAGACTTCCGGTTACAAAAAAATCCATGACGTGATCGGTCAACTTTGTGTTTCTCTCTAAATAATACTCTCCGGTTTTGGAGTCAAATCCATCCACCATTCTCAATCTAAATTTCTAATGTAATACAATTTCAAAAAATATAACAATTTGTACCTGTCCTCGTGACTGGAATCCAATAATTCATGCATTCTCGTCCATTCAGCAGTATAGAGTTCGGCCCGAACATAATACGATTTGCCACCGACGTTAAGTCTCATATAGGTGTCAGCATTGGTCCCTGTAAATATAGTTTTGATGGATTTTGTTTGATAGGCATTACCAGAATCGTGTGTTATTGTTGTGGTTCTTGATTCACCGATTGGAGGAGGTCGAAAAGCAACTCTTCTCTCCATACTCGCCGCCTGAGCAGCTGCGTTCTCCTCGGCTTGGATGCGCTGGAAATGTGTATCGGGTTAGATTAGTGATGGATCTTGAATGATCACATTTTGGCATCTAAATCTTCATTGCCCTTTTTAGGACAGATTGTAGTTCTTGGAAGAAATGGGTCCTAAGAAGGCAGATATGCAAGTACTAAAAGTGATTAACTTCTTAACTGAGTGTTTTTCGAAACAGATAAATTTTCAAAACCATACTCATACCTGAGGATGCTTATTAGCATGTTTTGAAACACTCGAAAACATCTTCAAAGCTAGTTTAGCCTTATCTTATCAGTAAGAAGCTACTCACACTAGCCAATAACGACGTTACTAGTGAATTCTAAATGAGCGAGAATTGCCGAGTCGTGTCATCTGATATTTTTAAGAAGACACGCGCTGTGAGAGAAGAGATAGAGAGGAGATGTTCACACTAACGTTTGAGAATTCCAGAGAATTTTGATTTCACAGAGATACACCACCCATTTCCGAGAGAGATTATCTCCTAGATCAAACGACTGCTCGTCCAGTTTTCAGTCATTTTTTCAACAACATCAAACCACAACTTTTTATTTCTTTTTTGTTTCGAACTGGTTCTTTTTTTTTTCTAAAATCGTATCAAAAGAAGTATTATCTCACATCCATTATAGAATTTTAGTATCAAATTTCAAGATGCTCAAAAACAAAAAAAAAAGAAAAGAAGTTCTGAATCCTAAAATAGTTGAGAAGAAAATGAGAGTATTGAAAATCTCTGACAGAAAAAGAGAGAAAAAAGGTGTTGTTTTGGCCCGAGGGCCATTCCTATTCTAAATTTGATTTCTTGCTCATCTTCCGAAAAGAGTTTTCTTCTGTCTATAGAACTTTGACGTCATTCTTGAATGGGGGATTCTGGAGTTTCTTGAGGATCTCACCTTCAATCTCATATTATTTTTTGGGTCTAAATAGCAATGAATAAGTTAGGAATGAATAGAAAATAGAAGAAGGAGAAGGTGTCAGAAGAATCTTCTTCGCTTTCTTTCTCTTGATTCTGATTCAATAAAATGTGGGATTCTTCTTCTTCATCTTTCGAACAAAACTCGATTGTGTTTGTGTTAGGCTCTTTCTGTCACGGGGTGGAGTTTCGTATCAAAAGGACTCTAATCCGGACAGAATAGATACGAACAAATCGTGAGACTCAAAGATTCTTTTAACTAGAAAATACATATAGCAAAGTCTTTTCTCGTTTACAACAGGAAATTAGTCGCCCTCGGGTTCTTTTTTTTTCGAGAAGGCTAGATTGGATTTCAAATTTTCACAAATTTTATTCAACATCGGACAAAAATCTTTGAAAAGTCAGAAATCACAAAATCTGACGATGAAACATTTGTTTTTTTTTAAATTGTTGAGCGGATAACCTGGATTATTTTAGAGTGGGCTCCGAATAAACATTTTTATTGGATTGATATGTTTCAAAATCTAGTTAATTTACTAATGTTATTGCGAAAATATTCAAAAAATAATCTTCGAAAAACGCCGTAAATAACACGGTTGCAAAGGGGATTAGGATTTGAGTTCTCGCGGCCACTTAAAAAAGGTATCCCGCGGCCGTGGCTTAGGTTTTTCACTGCGCGGGAACTCAAATTTTCGTCCCTTTTGGCCGTCTTATTAATCAAACTTTTTGCTTTCAACGGCGTTTTTTGGAGATTTCGGATTTTTTCGAATTTTTTTGGGTCTTCGGTTTTTTTTTTTGAAATTTGGTGAATTTTGCTCTTCAATCATTTTTTTTTGAAGATATATTTTTCATTTTTCAAGTTAATTGCACATCATTAACTTCTGTTTTATGTCAATTCAACAACTTTCATGACAAGAAACTCACGCATTCCTTATAGACCTTTGCATGCTCTCTTCTACAACTCGAATCTCTTGAAAGAATATGAAGCATTTAGGTTTTTCTTGTTAAGAAATACTCATCCGAAACCAAGAAAAACAAAAGAGCTAAATCAGAATTTCAAAATTTTATGGGCTCAAAACACGATGATAACAAGTAAGAAAAACATGTTTTTTTTTGTTTTTCCCTAGAGACTATTTTTTAAAGATGGGTCTTTCTGGTTTTGGTTTTTGGGGGGTTTATTTTTGAGTAGTTGCCACAATCAGGTTTTTTCATAAAAATTATCTCTAGACCAGATCCAATGGCAACGCGATTTTATTGTATTTTTTCTGACTCACAACCAGATTTGTAATCTTCCGAATATTTACAAATTACTAACCCAAAAAAAACTAAATTTATTCGCGAAGTCCCTATTGAACTCATTGACTCGTTTTTGACTGGACATGACAAATGAACACTGATAAAAAACAATCTTGTAAATACCTTTGCATAATGGGGTTCATGAATTCCATATTCAGCCAAATTCTCAATATTAAGGGTTGAAAGATAGGCAAGACTCGGCGTTGTCTCACCGGGAATATGAAAGCTCTCTGGAGCGGATAGCGAGTGACGATAATAGTTGTGATAACGGGATCTCACCTGTGAAGCACACGTCCGTTTCAGACGGTACGACAACATCTTTCTCAAGAGAAATGGAACGACTATGTGATGAGAAAGGTGTTGCCTGGAGAGCACAGAGCTCGTTGTCGCCGTGTTAGGAGACAAAAGGAGACGCAGAGATGACCAAGTGATAAGACGAAACGGGATCTGGCGACGATTATAACCAGTAGAGAGTGTGCAAGATTAGGAGACGCAGACACGAATTGTTGTGATATGTGTATATATGTGTATGAGAGCTCTAGAAAGAAAAGTGAATGATAAGTAAGGAAGCGAACGAGAAAAATGGAATGAAACGAAAAAAAGAAGAAGAAGAACGACGAGGTGCGAATTTTTTGTGTATGAGGTGTTTTTTGTTGGTGAGTTAAGCCTCAAAAGTCAAAAACGCTTCTTTGGAAAACGAGTAATTGGAATAGAGGAAGAAAAACAACACATACTTCACCTAGAGTATTCTCGCATACATATATATTTCATGATGACCGATAATGATCTCTCGAAAGATTTTTTTTTGTATGAGGAAGTTTTTGTGTATTCCTCCTGTGACACAGCAGGAATACAAACTTGACGGAAAGTCCACGTCAGTCTTGTTATCCTAGTGGGTAATACGGATTTGGGCAGAACTTTCCAGAAAACAGGCATAAATATCATTATGAGGTTTATCCTGAGACTCGAAATCACATGGCGTTATAAGTCTCACTTGTCAGTTAAAAATAAATTCTTCTTAAATTTACAGACAACGAGTGGGCAGAATGAACGGTTGGGAGAAATAAGAAGTATACTGTCTGCTACAAAAACACAAAAAAAAACACGAAACACAAATACGAAATTGAATCAATATGATTTGGAACAGCTGATTTCAGAAACAGATGAAAATTCCGACATTTTCTGAATAGTAGGTCCAAAAAGGTCCACAAAAAAATTTGATTTTTTAGATTTTCAATCATTTGCAATGACTAGAACGAACGGTCAACAAAAATAGAACCATTTCTGAATGGTGCACAAATCCTAGAATAGAAGTAATCTTGTGATCTGCCCACGTCATCAAGGAAGAATCTCTTGAAGATGAGAGCTGCGAAATGTTAAATTATTTAATTATAACAAAGAAGGAATGAATTAAAATGTCTCTCAATCAGTTGAATCTCTGCTCTTTATATATTGAAACATATTAGGTTGTTCGGAAAGTCCTTTCCACTTTTGATATGTTGTTTTCAAACTTTGTTTTCTTGAAGGGGATAAAAGCGAGGAAGTTGTCGTTTTATCAGTATGCTGGTTAGGTTTAATAGTGTCTACACCCCAACGGAGATCATTCTCCTCTTTTCGTGCAGTGAGATATGCCCACCGTATTCGCCTCTAATAATTTCCATTTTTGGACTACCATTTTATTTGTATTTCTATCTGACCTCAGATCAACTGAAATAAATCATTAATTTGTGGAGGTTAACAACGAAGATTCACCCTTTCGAACAAACTTCACAACCTGGATTCATCAATTTGAAAAATGAAAATTCTCGTTGGGCGAAAATCCCCCTCCAAAAAAGCATACGGGCTCAGATTTGGACGCATTAAAAACCTGGATTGAAAGGGACCCGTCTCAAACTGTGCGGGATATATGAAGTACATCAGTGGCAAGCCTTTCGTCAAAAAGCCATAAATTGGGAACTCTCGGCAAAGTAAAAAAAAGTGGGAAGATATGGATCACACCTTTTCGCTCAAAGCAACTTTGTTTCATGTGTGGGCACCTGTTTGAACCTTCTCATCCTGCGTTGCACACATGAATGTTGAAATTAAATCATTACTAGTGGCGATAAATGGGTAATGTACGATTACTATAAACAACAATCCAAGTGGGTTGACAAAAGCACTCAACCACCAGACGTCCCGAAACGTGAAATTCGCGTTAAAAATGGGATGTTTTCAGCATGGATGTCTACCAAGGAGTGGAGTATTGGGAGCTGCCAGATAATGGTGTCACTTTTATGACCGATACCTATTTTTGTTAGGTGACATAACTCAGACTCCATGTGGATCTCCATTGGAGAGAAACACAAAGGTTTATTTTCAAAATCGAAATTCGCAACCTCATGCGGGAAGGAGAACGGAGACCGATCTCACTGGATACGGCTAAACGGTTCTGTCTTATCTACAGTATAGTCCAAACCTTGTACTGTCTGACTACCCCCTTAGCCAGCCATATCTACCTACATCTTGATTGAAAAAAATTCACTTCAAAGAATGATGTCAAAAATGGGTTGAGCTGATTTTCAATGCGCTGTGACCGGAGTTCTGGTAGGAAGACGTTGACAGATAGTCACTGATAACAATGGTCATTATCTTCAATTTATCTGACATCGTTTTGACCTTTTTTATATCGAATGAATCTGACGTAAAAATGGAAAGGACTTTTCGAACAACCTAATATGATATATTTTTATTTTGACCACCTCTAAAGAATGATTTCTGAAAATAAGAAGACCTTGTTGGATGAGTTGAACTATAAGGATCATTTTCAGAATGTTTTTCAGTTTGAATGGAATCGAATGCTGTAAATAAAAGCATAATTCATCTCTTCTCTTCTTTCTGAGTTTGTTGAAAAAGGTGACAAAATGAGAAGAGGACTCATAGAAAAGCCATGGTCAAAACATCATAAGGAAACAAAAAGTACAAAAAAGTAGAAAATACATGTGTCAGTAAGAAAAAAAAGAAGAGGAGCCCTTGCGAGGTGTTCATAGATGACGCGAAATGAAATACACACTGGCAATTTGCCGCCGGCGACGGAAGAGATGGCATAAAAAGAAGAAGACGAAGGCGTCCCTTAATTGTACCTAGATACAAAAACAGAATGCCTCATTTTCTTAAGGGAAGAAGCTTATTCATCTATTTGCTCCGTTGCTCATGTGCTCATAGATCAGAAGAATAAAAAGGGGTTGAGAATAATAGACACGTGGAAAGCCCCACAGGAGAAGGTGTCTGGGGAAAAAAACTAGAAGCTACTTTTAACAGAAGTATTGGAGCATGTGTTCAAAATCTATTAATCTGCTATTTGGAATCAGGGATGTTCAATGACCTTTCTGGAGTTTGTCCTATTTGAAAAATTTCGGAATTCCGGAACTTCGGAATATTCTGATTTGAAATTTTCCAGAATTTTTAAAAATTCAAATCACAAAAGCCTCGAAAATAGGTGAAAATTGACAAAAAGAGTTTGAAAACGCACTAATAAAAAAAAACTAGAAGTAGTCCTGCCCGCAAGTGATTTTGTTTTTGCGTAGTTCAAAAATATCTAATTCCGAAAAAAAATGTGTTTTAAAAAATCGTATCGGAATTCGATTATGAAAAATAAAGCTTCGGAAATATTCCGGTCGTCGTTTCATTCCGGAAATGATCGGAATTTCCGGAATTCCGTTCCAAACATCCCTGATTTGGAATGACTTTTAAGCTTCACTGCAGAATTTTCAGGATTGTTTTTTATAAATTAAAATCTAGCACGTGACAAAAAATTCAGATCTTTTTGGTGACGAAATTTTTTGAGCTAAAAATTACTTATTTAAGATTCTCTCATCTTTGACCGGTACTTACATCTTTGACCGGTTCTTGACAACACTTTTGCATCTTTTTCAAGAGTCTACCCCAGAATAGGTAACCCCTCGTCAAACTCGGAAAACCTCAGGTCGAAACAAGTTAGAAGTTAAACTTCGCTTTAGAATTCTTTGCATTTTACAAATACCTTAAATTGAATACGTTTCAAAGAAATGTACTTTTGATGGTACAATAGACATAAACTTTTTAGTAGAAGTTCATTGGTGATTCACACCAGAATCCAACTAAAAATGCAGGCGGAAATGCCCAGAAATACGAATATAAATAGCCAGCCTTAGGGCATAGGAAGACTCAAATTTGCACTCGGAAGAAGACATGTGTATCCGCTAATATATTGTCTTGAATTAAGAAAATTATTTAAAAACACTTACCCCCCATTGGACGATTTTTCTGATTTGTCGAAAAGAATTCTGACGGCGGGAAGCGGTTCTGCGACTTCTAGCGTGCATGTCTTTTGGATTTCTGAAAACTGAACGAATTTTTGGATTTTTCAAAGCAGAAAAATGATGTTAAAAAGAGGTAAGAAAGATGTAGGTTCTCAACGATAGAAAACGAGAAGGCGTGAAGTGGCTTGAAGTAGGTAATCCCATTAATTTCCCATTTCAGAATTCCTTTTACTTCTTTTCAACATTTTTTTTCTCGGAAACAAGTAAAGCCATCTGATGTGTCAGGAACATTGGAAATTCATGGGGAGTAAGAAACAGAAGAACCTCTCTTCAGAATAATATATAAACGTCCATCTATATTTCGTTTCCTTTTTTGGCGCTTCAACTCAAAATTCTGTTGGCTCGGATTCTAGGTTTTTTTTCTAACCGGATGTGCTCACTGAGCAAGTCTGAGAAAATATTTTTTATTTCGATTTTTTAAATAGACAAAGGAAAATAGGAAAGATTTGAAAACCAGGAAAAAAGTTTGACAAAAGGGAAAAACACATCAGTGGACAGTAGAAATCTCTGGAAATACAGGGAATGAAAAATAATTAAATGAGTTATTGAGTTGAATCTCCAATGGCAAGCATTTCAGCGGAATGGAAAATACTTGGTTTCTCTTTTTTGATTGGTTCCATTGTGTCATCAATACTTTTCGGATAAGAACGTTTGAGAGAATTTTGAAGTGGTGTAGTATCATCGCGACGGAGCATCTGAAACTAATTTTTCAGTTATGGTAAAAGGAGGAAATGGAGAAATTTTTTAAAAACTCACTTTAAATTCCTTCTTGGATATTGTCGCTGGAAGTTGGATAGCAAAAGTTGTGCTGTTGGAAATGCTGAAATGATAATGGGGAATGCCTCGGAAAGTAAATAGACGAAAATTAAAATTTTCTAGGCACGGCCCGACCTGGAAGGTCCGGTATCAAAAATCTTGCGTTTAAAAGCCTTTTTGAGCTCTTACAACGATTAGGTTGGAAACTAAGTCTTTGTGCACTTTTGTTTTCCTCTTTTTTCTTAACTGAGCTAGAACAGTAACATGTGTCTAACCGGATATGGTATATAAGATGATAAGGTTGTTCACAATAACCATCATTTGCCCTGCTCTCATTCCTTTTGCTAACGGGATGCCCCTTTTGATACCCACTATTTTTGGATGAAATTTCTGCATATTCATGTTACTGTTCTAGTTCAGTTAAGAGAAAAGAGGAAAACAAAAGTGCACAAAGACTTAGTTTCCAACCTAATAGTATAACTTCTTTACCTAGTTTTTTTTGGTTTGGTTTGTGTTTTTGTCATTTATAATCTTTCTATTCTTTCAAAAGTTTTGATCGAAATGAAACAAAAAATTCTTTTGCTATAAAAATCTGGAAAAAAAATCGAACATCAGGCCCGCCGGGCTGTGCTCGGGCTTTGAAAATAGAAAAAAGCCCGGTCCGGCCCAGCCCGCCCCTTCACATGTATGAAATTTCGTATACCAGTAAAAAGTTTAGGGCATAAAACTTCTGTTTAAACTCAAGGAAATTGAATTTCCGCCAAAAAGAAAATCCCACTAATGTTTTGAAAACTAAAAGAATTTATTTTACAATTCCAGGTCAATATTTTGTTAGGACTGACTATTTCAAAAAAAATTTTTCGTATCAAAATCTGCTAACCTGTTCCTAAAAGTATCTCTTCCGGACGTTGGATTGTTGGGTGTCAGCTTCGGCATCGTCGGAGATAGTTGACATTCTGAAATCCTTCGAATGATTTCCCTTACTTTCTCCGTCTGCTTCTTCTTACATCTACCGTAATCCCTCATTTCTCCCTCTTTTCACCTTTCCCTTGTTCCTCTCGTCATCCAACTGTTGTATGCGAATTGAAAAATTGACTTGTTCATTTCGGATAGATAAGCCATGGGAACATAGATTCTCTCTGTGTGCTGCATCTTCAGATTTCAAAAATAAGATCTTCCTTCCCTCTTCTCTTCACCCTTCTTTCATCCCAAAAATGCCCGATAAAAACGAGAAAGAAGAAGGAGAAGAAGGAGAAGAAGAAGAAGAAGAAGAAGATAAAGAACTCATATCAATTGTTAGCACTCGCCAATAAACACCCGACAAATTTATGGTCCGTAACGACACTTTTTTTTTGCTTGCGGCGACACGCTCCGTCATCGCCCACCTTGCTTTGCTTTGCCCTCATGTCTCTACACTTTATTTGATTGGAAATTGAGTGTTTGAGGAGAGAAGAAAGGTGAAAATGAACAAGCACGGAGACGAGAAAAAGTTTCGGAAAAGAGAGAAAATGTTGGGTGGAATGGAACGATGTGGTAGAAGAATCATTGAATCAATCAGTGGATTCTAGTAGGGAGAAGTTACCTGGTTGTGATGGACTTTTGGCCATCGATACGGGAGCTTGTGCAACCATCGGCTCATTCGTGTGCTTCAATTGTCGTTCTATTTGATCAAGATGTCGCCGTTTTGTGTTCAGCGCACACAGAGAACATCTGAAAATAAATTATAGAACTTTAGAAATAACTTGTCGAGTCCTCCATTCTTCAAAAACTAACACTTTTTATTTATTCTTCAAAAACTAACACTTTTTCTCCAAAATCCCTCAATTTTCAGTTCAATAGTTCAAGCGAACCAGCACAAATAAAGGAACATTCTCGGAAGCAGGCATATTTTTTGATTATTCTGAATATTGTTCCCAATTTAGAAGACTTAAGAAATTTCAAAAAGTTCGGTTTTCAGTGTGAGATAAGATTTTTCTATAAAAAAAGAAAATGGATTTTGTGTGAAAACAAATTACCATACCAAAGGCGGAAAGTTTAAAGAGCCGCCAGTTGTTAGAACAGTTGTTTTTCGGTCTTAACTTTCAAACCTATTTGCGTTTTCTGGAATCTACAGTATGCTGTCAAATTGAAAAAGTAAAGTTTCAACTTCTGAAATGAAGTTTTTGAGTCATAGATTTTCAGGGAAACTAAGATAATCCGATTAAATTTAAAGTTAATCTCTAGGTTTCAGAATTAAGTTAGAGGTTTCCGAAGAAGAAATTACCGATCTATTTGCATCAAAAGTTAGACATACTAATTAGGAGACAATATCAAAAATATAAACATGAGATCAAGAAATTCTAGGATACAAAACCAAAAATGTATCAACTCACGGGCATGTTCGATATGGACACTTTTGTTTGTGACCCTTCTTTGGCTGATTGAAGATGCCATGATTGGCACACAACTGACACATATACTGCTCTTTCGGCATCTCAAAAATTGAGTTGAGGAACTTGAAAAGTGCTAGTGTACTTGGTCCCAAAAGAGGCGTGGCCAGAGGACAGTGCGAGGGCCAATCGGCATTTGCCTTCAGCAGCAAAGTGGAAGAAGAGGACGAGTAGGAGGAGCTTGTATGATGATGGATTGCCGCCATTTTCGAAATTGAATTGGGGAAATATGAGTTAACAATGAAATGTAGATATGCTGACATCCGTTACTTTGGACAAAAAAGGTTTGGGCACCATAAATGAAACACGGATGGGTCCCCGGAAAGGGATGGTGACTATATGGTGTGGTATGAGATTTATTGCCCGTTTGTCACATTCAAAAATCATTTTTCAATCCTGAAAGAAGTCAGATCTTTTGTTGGGTCTTCATGAAACGTTTGTCAGCGAGAATTGTGAGATACAATCTAGTGCTAAACGGTTGATATGAGTCATTTTCATCTCGATCCTCCATGGGTTTCGCCTATCTCTTTGTTCCATCAATTAATCAAACCGAGTTTCTTCATCCTGAGTTTTTGAATCCGATTCTGCAAATCAAATAGGTGTCATGTGTTCTCGAAGTTCAATCATTTGATGTCCCAGGTCTGTTTCCTTATTAACCAGTTGTGACTGGATGCCGAGCCGATAGTTTCTTCAATTTCATACATTACTGAACTAAGTTGCAGTGTGCTATGATGTACTTGGTCAGTATACAAGTATAGATTATTTCACACGAAGCTACAGTAACCTATCAAGCAGTCTTTTGTTTCCAGGAAGTGTGATCCTAACTGTGAGTTTTCAACGAGTGTGGTGTTGTTTTCAGAGTAAATTTCAAATAAAAGTCTCATGAGTCTACTAATTCTTTCTTGATACTTCTTCAAAGGTTCCCAGCATAGATTCACTATCTGATGTCAATTTTTCCGTACAACCACTTCTCGTTTTTTGGTGAACAAAGTCTTATAAATATGTCGGATGTCAGGCGTGACCCACAGTCTCTCTTTCTCCCACATTTTTCTTTTTTTACTCTTCCAATCGACACGAACGAAGCGAAACATATAAATTAACAAGTGTCTTCAAAATCTGTTCATATATCACTTCATGCTGAGCCAGCTTGCTCGCTGGGTATAGGGGGGATGTTGGAGAAGGAGAAAAAGAAGAACATGGCTAATTAATATCACTTTTTTGAAGAACTAATTTGCCACCAACTGCCACACTGTGTGTGACTGCTGAAGAGAAGAGAAGATATACACGTGCTCAATGACAGATTGAAAGTGATTCAGTGTTTGGAGCGGGAGGGGGACAACCACAAAATAAATGCTTCTTGTGGAAAGATATGGTGGTTTTTTATGAAGCCATTCGCACCCCAAAATATTCGCGGAAATGAGCAGATTGCATCGAGAGATTAATGTAAGAAATGAGTTTTCCGCGATATGAGGGTGTTTGGGAAGTGTGATCTCGAGATTTTTAATGTTTTGAAAGTAGAATAGAAGCTCATCACGGGATCTTTCTGAATTGTTTCAATTTTTCAAGCTCCTGAAAAATCTCTAATAGAAGGATCCTCCTTACTTTCAACGTTGAGCCAATTTATCTCAGTTCCTGTTAAAGATATAAGAAAATTGACAACTGATGAATTGTTTATCGCAACATTACAAAAATTTTATCAGTTGACACATTTTTGATGTCTTTCATAATAGTCGAGAAAATTGAGCTCAAACTTTACAGTGTCTATTTTAGGTTTTGCGGTTAATTTAAATGTGATGACTACAGAGACTTCTTCTTTAATCTCAAATTTTCGAATTCTCCGTTTTTCTCAATTATTCAGATGTTATTCAAACGACTAATTCATTATAACCGTTACGGTGACCGAATGGAAAAACCACATGAATTCGATTTCAATCAACTTGGTGTTCTCACATCTCGTTGACACATACATTCACAATTAACAAAAGAAGGGGTGACGAGAAGCACGCTTTCTCAGGTTATTCACTTTTTTCTCAACTCAAGGCCTTCCGGGAGGTCCCGAAATAGTACGGCGCCTGGAGAGACGCATACATGTCATGAAGAATCGAAACGTCAACTCTTTACGTTTCGAACACCTTCCACTCCTCCTCCAAAATGGTCAATTTCCGCATAAATATATTTGAATGGATTGAGATGGGAGGGCAAGAAGAATCGACGAATAGTGTATATACGCTTTGACGGATTTTTAGTAGAACAGGAAGAAAAACATGGCGTTTCGTAAGAGGAGAAATTCAAAATTTTTGATATTTTGGGGTATTGGATTTGAAAAGTTGGGGGTTAGGTAAGATTCAAGGGTATTTGGGAAAAGTGTAACAGTTTGAAGATGTGCCCGGAAACATTGTCAGATACTTCAGATCAAGTGGACTCTCAACATATGTATTTAGAGAATGCGTGGGATGCACATTTTGAATGGTCATGCTAAATAATCGTTTCTTTTCGAAAGACATCAATGTAGACCTTTTTGAAATATGTCATTCAATCAAAACAAATTCTTTCTATCATTATCTGAATCAAGATTTCGATTTATCTAAAATTAGGAATCCTTGAAAACTGGCTTAGGATAACGTGTTTCTGGCGGGTCATGTCATAGTTTCTTTTAGAATCATTATTTTCAGATCAATCAAATTAGGTATGATACAATTCGACGAGTACTACAAAATGATACTAATGTTATCATTTATCTTGTCTATGAACAAAGTTATAGACGAAACGGGCCCAAAAACAGGCAGGACCCTGTAAACCTACAGCACCGGTCATTAAGATTTACAAAAGCATACTTTCAGCTGATTTTCTGCCGTTTTGACCATTTTCAGGAGTCTGGAGGCAGTTTCTCAGGTTTCCAATCACTTTGAGCGTTTTGGAGGATGTTAAACAGACCTAGATCGAAAACAACGCATTTACAGAACTTTTCGAAAATTCTTTTTAGGTAACATCCTTCAAAATGTTCAAAGTGATCGGAAGCCTGACAAACGAGCTTCTGAAAGTAGTCTAAATCAACTGAAATTACAGTTTTCATGAAAAATATAAATTATGAGAAATAACAAATTTCAAAAGTGTACTGATTAGTCGGACTTTCGTCTGTTGATCCCTTTCGCCACGTAGAGGCTCAGTATATGGAAGGGTCTTCCCGCCCTGGTCTCCGAGGACCATTGTTGGATAACTTCCATGTTCCTTTTCACTGCCAAGACGCCATGACTACGCCTTTATTGTTATTTCATATTCTTCTAAATCTTTGATCGAATCTTTTGCAAAAGGGAGACGTTCAGAGGAAATGATTCCACCTAGCCATAAACCCCAAAACATGGCGACCCTTAGGGCCTTCTAGTACTTTTTTCGCATTCGACAAATCGAAAGAAAAAAAGAAAATTAATCAAAAAAAGCAGCGTAGGCAAAGAGCTTCAAACCAAAGAAAACGCTCATGTGAAATTATTCAACAATAAAACTCAACGAGTTTGATTCCACAAAAAACGTTGTTTTTAATATGTTAAATTTTTTAACGTGAATAGAAGGAAATAGATTAAATCGCGCCGAACGCCCACCAGCCAGCTCCTCCGGCGCTTCAAACAGGCTGGTTTACCCATAATATTCTAGTAATGCACCGAGAATGAAAAAAAAACATGCTAAACAGGTAGCCAGTGCTTCCAAATTGAACACATGCATTTTTTGCCAGAATTGGATATCTTGCTCGTGCCATCCATGAGCAATCCCTGGATATCCTGTCTTGATTTATGACATTGAAATCAGATCCCTTCCACATTCATATTTCAGACACCAAGAAACATTTCCTCTGCCAGTTTTCAATATACTCGTTTTGTGGATTATTTGTACTTATGAAAACCCACTTCAAGAGTATATTCTCGCAGCATCAGGAGCTTTTCTTTTTTATATATTCTACTAGTCATTCCGATTCTAGTACCCATAAATTTCGATGTGTTCGACATTCTCTTCTTTTCTTCCAGGGAAAACCACTGAAGCCGTCTCTCTTTTTTTGCTCGTTCCCGACATCGTAGCTCACATGAAATATCACATTTCATGTGAACACGGTCAATGTACTTTCTTTTGTTTATAGGGGTTTCTGGCTCCCATTTATGGTCTTTTTTCATTTTCTCAATACAATCATTTTCGTCATCAATTCCTTCTTATTTTATTCCAATACCTCATTTATCTTCCATTTGCGTTTTTCGTCCCCATCTTAATTTTCTCTTTTGCACATATTATTATTCTTTAAATTAACATTCCAGACGAGTATTTTGGCTCGAGAACGCTCTTTTTTTTGCTACGTTCTCAAAACATCTGGAGTCATCAGCCCTCCTTGAAGCCATTCGTTCCGTCTTTTCTTCTTCTTATCTTTCAGTTTTCCATATGGTTTTCTCGTCGAAACATTATGTTAATTGGAGCGACGCCGACGTTGGGGGGGGGGGAGGGCGTCTGGAGATGACTGCAGCAAGAGTTAAACGACAAAACGTCGAAAAATAAAGTTGTGTCGTTGTTCCCGTCACTAATATATTTTGGTAATAGGAAGTTCCACCAGTGTCTTTGTGTTATTTGGTTCTTCATCTGGCTCATCATTTCAGCAATCAATATGATTTAATATTAAATGGAAAAAACACATACTTCAAAGACAATGCCCGGATTTTCCTCATTTGAAAAATAATGTTTTTTGTGAGAAAATATTTTTAATGTCACTCCGTTCTTGACAAGAAATTTTGTTTAAAAATGTTTTTATTTTTTCTGTTGATACCCTTTTTTTTCAAAAGACAGGAAAAAATACTGAAAACCGAGCCTTGAATTCTTCAAAAAGACGGCCCGGTCCACAATTTGAACCCTGTAGTACATTATTGAAGTAATTCTGAGGAAGTTTTGTTCCTGGAACTTCAATCATATACGTATTCATTCGAAGTCAGTCTGCCAAAACTCGTCACCGAAAAATGGCCAAGGATTCCTTGGTTAACTTTCTAGCACCTCCAGGTCGTTTATTTTTTTAGAGCTTTGTATTATTCACTTAAAATATTTCAGTCCGGGTGTATAACTTTTTAATCCCCTTCCAGTAATATCTCAGCCCAGTCTAGAGTATCTCTCATAACAAAGAATTGTAGTGGACAGATAGGAACGGTGGTACCAGGGATGAGAACTCGGAAAATGAGAACTG